CTTTAACCCTACCTGATGGTGCCTTCTTCCCTTAAGCACATGGTGGCTTACAGACAAGTCCATAAAGATGGCCATAAAAGCAAGGAATAATCCTTGCAATGAATATAGGAAGAACAAGAATCTGGTTCTCAGCAGCTAGAAAGTGGACAGTAGTTTCAGCACTGCAACAGGTCAAGACCAGGGTCCTGTCTTCCTCACAGTATATTTCAGGATCATCCTCAGCATGTTCACTCGGAAGGATGTTGTTCTCACTGGGTGCTACTCCCATGTAATCCTATACAGAATTGCAGCAGAGATTCAGCCCAGCCTCCCCATCCTAATATCCTCCCCATTTGCTGGCCTGCAAGACCCATGTCCCTGACCAATGGTCATGCTAGTTAGGGATTAGCATAGTAGTAGCCCAGGACATCTGAAGGGGTGACAGGTTCAGAATGGCTGGTCTAAGCCCAATCATGATATTTGAGCTGGAAAAAATAAAGCTTGACTGCTTTTCTAATGCCTGAAGTTGTACAAATTTGGACAAGATGAAAGTGCATTCTGTGGGTTCACTGAAAGCCCTCAATAGGGCTTATCCCTTAGACATTAAAATGTGAAAGGGCAAATGGGAGGGAGAGGCCCTTTTTCAGATAAGAAGGCCACAAGCAGATTCAGAGGTCAACATGTCTCTCTTGAACTGGGAGAAGACAATGGATTTGCCCCAGGACAAATGAAAAAGACTAATATGAGATACCAACTCCCCTGAGGGGAGTTGGAGCATTCAGTACTAGCTCCACTTTACAAACTATCTAAAGGAGTAGCCCCACATAGACTTGGCTGAATGAATTAATGCTAAATGTTACATGGGTTTTCCTAAATGGGGGACATCCAGCATGTCAGGAGCAAAAGGAACACCAGGCCACAGCTTCCCCCAGTTTCCCAAGCAACAAATTAGGACTAGGAACTAACACATCAACCACAGAAACAACTCCCTAAGAACAGCTAGATCATGGTCCCAACATAACACCTATTGGATCTTCCAATGGCACCTACAAAGAGTTCCCCAACACAGTACCCACAGGCACAATTTTCTAAAATGAAATGTATACAATTTTCCAACAACTATACATAGGCTTCAACAAAAGCAGACCCAATACGAAATAAGTACCCATGTGAAATTAGTAGCTATATATACCAAAAGTGTTGGAAGGTCTTCAGTGCATTGCATTATAGGCCATGTTTATCATTCCAGTGTTGTAGTATCTTTAGCCGTGTAAAGGATGCACATTTCACCTTCCATTTGTTACTTTCCATTATATATGAATCAGGTATATAATGTAAAAGTACACATACATTAGTGAATATTAAATACTGTTTAGGTTCAAAAATTATCTAAATGATAACCTCCAAATTATCTAAATGATAACCTCCTCCAAAAAAGAAACAACTACTTGACATTGGCAATTTGTATGTTTAAAAGATGCATTAGCTGCATTGCACCACCAGCAAATAGATAAATGATAGACATTGTGGTATCTAACAGACATGAAACAAAAAAAAAAAATTGCTGAACAAGAAATGGCTTGAGATGTAGAAATGCAACAAGCAGATGACAAAGTGGCGATTCCCTGATTAGGGATTTTGTGGTTATATACCCAAATGTTCCTATGGATCCAAAAAGCTGGGGACTGCAAAACTAGATTATGCATTAACATTGCTTATTCTTGTCTGGATTTGACTTTAGCCTACTGAGCTTCAAAAAGGGCTCTATTATCGAGGAGTGGGTTGAGGACTGCTTATCTTAGATGACAAGAGTGAAGTAGTATCACAATTTCTATGGCCATCTCAGCTTCTCTCTCTTCATTGATGGCTAATCCTCCCCTTTTGGCCATAATTCAGCCAAAGTTTTAATGTTTCATTTATAGTCCACAGACATGATTCTGCAGTTTCACCTTCTTCAGTTTCATTTCTCAGATAAACACTGCAATCCTAAATGACTACTCAAAAGTAAGTCTCACTGATAAGGAACATTTGAAAAGAAAAAGCAGAAGAGGGTCTGAAGTGATGGAAAGATTTGTTGTTGCATAAGTTAATGTTTTTTTCTGTTAAAATCTCACAGAGCATTGAAAGATGGAAGATAGTTTTGGGGGATTGATGTATTGGTTGCATTTGTTTAAAATTCCTTTGGCAACTTTGCTTATTTTGTTCATTTTAGTTTGCTGTTTATTTTAGGCTGTTCTGTTTTATATTTTTATACATTTGTATATGTTAAGAAAATAAAAAGTCTCACTGAATTCAGCAGGATTTACTCCCAGATAAAGGAGTATAGGATTGCAGTCTAAATATTTTTAATTTCTATCATATATATATTTCTGAAAGCTTTCACAATGGATGTGCTCTGTCAGACATGTATACCCAGCCTGTGAAGAAAAAAATCCGGAATAAGTTCAAACGTTCATTCTAGGTTTGTACACATATTTACAGCAGTGGAGGTTAGACTTTGCAAAGGTGAGAACTGGCACAATGTGGAATTAAAATTCCTGCTTTAAATGTTTTTATCTGAAAAAGCTATGTTACAGTAATCCAAACATTGCAGGAAGAAATATACCTGCAAAGTTATACATATCACTTAGCACTCCCTCACTTAATTTTGGTTCTGATCACATTTATTTAATGTGGGAGTACATTCACCCCTTTGTATAGATTAGATGCTTGCTGCACATAGCATGTGAAGTATTATGCAAATTGTGACTTTGGTAAACTTCCATAGCTCTATAAATAGTTTATAGGCAGCTACCAAAGCAGCTTTGAGAACAATTCAGGTGCCAATTAGACATTAGACTAAAACAAGAACCCCTTAAACTCTGGGAGCAGATATGGCAAGCCAGGACCATTATTATCGTGCAGTTCTACAAAAAAGATACTAGATTGGGGCCAAAGGTTTGTTACGGGAAAGAGAGATTGATTGCACAATAGAAGTTAACCCTATAGAATACTAAGTGGGCTACCACAAAACACAAGCATGATCCATCACATAAAGTCTGATACTCTAACATCAGAAGGGCTTGTTAGAATACAATTGGCATTGCCTGGGCCCATAGGATAAATTGTCCTATTCAATGCACTCCATACCTGCCTTAGAACTCTATTGTATGTAAGTTATAGCCAAGAAGCATATTATTTCTTCCAAAGAGATAATTCAGTCTCTCTGATACATGTCAGTTTGAAGGAAGCTGGCCTCCTCATCTGCAGCTTAGCAAAGTATCAAAGTACTGTCATCATTACAACTCCAAGGCCTGCTGCTGCTTTTCCCGGCTGTTTCAGGCAGGTGGCCTCTACCCACATCACTTTCCTTCATGCTGCACAGCTGATGGAGATTTCTGGCTGAGGGAAAATAGTACTGCCCAAAATAGTTTTGAGCAGGGATAGAAGCATCTCATTCAAAATGAAAATGAAAGGTGTTTATTTGCCCTTTCCCACAACTTACCTGTAAGTCAAAGCAGCCACTTGGCAGTTGGTATTACAGTGGCCTCTGGTGGTAAGCATAATGCTCTGCTTAGCAGGAGCTAGCAGCCTTAAGGCTCCCACCAGCTTTTGTTTTTACAAGAACCCTTAGATCCATGGGTAGTAGTCTGGGCAAGAATATACACACTATTAAGAAATTTTGAGCCCAGATATTTAATGACTAAAACCAAAGGATGCTCAAAGTCCTATCATACAAAATCCACTCCTAGTTTTGGGCTGTCTTTTGATCTCAACAGTTTGGTTGAGTGGTGGTGAGGGTCTCTTTTTTCCTGTTATTGCTGCTTTTCTTCTAACAGTTTGGCACCACTAATCCATCCTGATCAATCAACTGCAAATCACCCAGAAATCTGACAGCAGATCCAGATATACCTTCTGCTCACCTGTTATGTGGCGTACATAGCACCAGATTTGGCTTGTGTTTCAGCCTCAGTAGAACTTTCCTCCCACAGATGTGCTCTGTAGTTGCATGACGAAAGAACCACATAGTAAACCCATGTTGCAACAGCACACAGTGTGGTCTGCAAAGAGACACTTTGTCTCTGTGTACTGATGGGCCTAACAAGTGTTGGAGGTTTTCAGGCAAGGGCAGCAATTAAAGCAACAGTTAATGCTGCATATGCTGTCCATGCTGACAGAAGACAGTGTAGAAAAGTATGACCTTCATTCCTCGAGTCTTTAAGACCACTGTCTGGTTTTAAAAATGAAAACCAAGTAACTGGAAGGGCTATATCTTTAACTCAGTCCTTCATTGGTGGAGTGAAGTGATGCGCAATTGGATAAAAGAACTTTCCCCTTTCTTACTATCACCCCAATGGTCAATTATCTTATCATTCTTCCTAAAATCATCCTTACAATAGTTTCATCTTTTGCAAAAATAGCTAAGAAACATTAGTGGTCACTGTGTAAACAAGCAATTGGTCATATCTATGATCCTAGTATCTTAATGCAAAATTGCAACTTTGACTTGCAGTGAAATGTTCTGTTCAATGAGGAACAGAGCAGATATCAAACTGTTAACTCCAATTCTTGATTCTGGTTTTCAGTGAAAATGCAGGATTTTTTTTTTCTAAGGTATTCTCAGGTGTTCATGAACAAGGTGTTTTTATTGTTGCTGTCTGTACAGCGGAATTAAAAGAATTCCCTGAATCCACAAAACGGTCAACTGGAAGGTTGTTCCACAGCAGAATCATCAAGTTTTAGATAATTTGGATGTATTTCAGCAAATTGTGGTGCAACAGCTCCTTCACCCCTATTCAAAATTCCTCAACTTGAGAAATCAAAAAAATTCTCCAAATTTTTTGATGGACAAGAGTTTTGCAATCATGTCCCCCACACTACTGAAACCTCAGATTTGGGCTTTGCTGTTCATACACTAGCAAGACCTACGGCCCAATCCTATACAAGTTTAGATGAAGAAAAGGCCTGCCTGCCTGGGAAATATTGGAACTTTCTGTCCTGCATATTTGAAAGCAAAGAAAGACACTGGATTAAGAATCAACTGAGTCAAGTAATTATTTATAGTAGAACATACACGAGCAATGCACCCCTATGTGTTTATTGCACTTCTGTATTAAATTTTCAATTTAAAAACCTGTTTACTCAGAAGCAAGCATTACTGCATCCAGTGAGGCTTCACAAATCCCTCACCTTTTCAATTGTGGCCTAAACTTCTTCCTCCCATCTATCATCATCTCTGTGCCAGACAAGCTTTGTATGTAAGTTTGAAAATACAAAATTCATGTATGAATTAATCTGTAGACCAAAACATGCTCAGAAAGTTAGAGCTGACCATCTTTCTCATCAAGTTTATGGTCTGAGTTCACAGTATTTTTTGTCTGCATTTTCCCTATATTGGAAAAATGTAGTCAGTTTCCTGTTCTGATCATAGGTAAGAACTGCAGGAAAAAATTCAATATAAATTTATTATACAAAAAGTGCTAGATTTTTTCAGCAGATTCATCTTTTTTCTAAAATCAAAACAAAATGTTAATTGAATATGCTAAAATTTAAACATGCCCATCTTATAAGAATGACATGTATAAAATTAGCAAACATTAATCAAGCAAGTTCTTTTAAGAATATAAAAAGGTATTGCATTTTTTATGTCTTTGGCAAGTGTCTGAAATTATTTTCTTCTAGATTACAATTAAAATTGTACTTTAGCAGCAGTTGGGGAGGATACTTTTCAATAATCCACAATCCCATATTAATTACATTTCAGATATTTAAACAGCATATAACCTTTTCAATTAACAACTATGGGGAATGACAACTGTTAAAACTTCTTTGCTGAACAGATATGGTGAAACTTGTACCAGTTCACCAAGAAAACAAAAAGCACATTGGAACTTTTGCAAAACATATAAAAAGTATTTTAAAATATCAAAGTGCCAAGGTTGTGAAACATTACAGTCACGCTCCCCCCCCCCCACCAGCCCAGTGACAACTGGTATGAGTAAGTTCTTCCAATCTCTTCCCCCAGAACTGGTGTTGCAGCCCTCCAAAGGAAAACAACTATTTAAAAAGTGATGTACATACTATAGTTACATAAAACAAAGGCTATCAATGGCCCCTTCAAGAGATGTGTCATTAAGTAGACAAAGAAAATTAGTTCTTTGGACTTCTGTAGTTTGCACTAGACATCAGGAAGTTAGTTACTGACTGAAGTCTGAAATCGTCGCCGTCTCCTATGAAAAGCCTTTAAGTCCCACTTGCTTGATTCTAGCATAGTAGATCCATTGTAGACCAGCAACACAGTCATTTTTTCCGTGTAAGTTAAGTTCTGCAGTAGCTGTTAACAAATAAAAGGTTTTATTAGAGGCGGCTCATGTGCTTATTAGTTAAGATTCATCAGTGCTTCTTACAGCAGCCATATTCTATTTTTCAGGAACATACTGGTATGACACTTTCTCCCTTTTGGTTCAGCAAGACTCAGCAATTTTGCCAGGTGGGCAAGACAACGCACACATGTAACATAAATTGTGAATAGAGACAAGCCTGGTTTCTGTTATTAAGCTCTATAGCACTCTTTCTATCACACTGACTACATAAAATTCACCACATCAAGAGATTTTTGCTGCTGGCATGTTTGTAGAATCCAGTATTGTACATGCATATGAAAAAAGGACATGCACAGGTAAGAAAAGTAAGACAAATAGACTTAGAAAGAAATATAGAGACAGATAGCATTAGCAGATTTTAAAAATAAGAAGGAAAAGAGAGAGTGCTAGTATTTATACTCAGAACAGCTGGTAACTCCATCAAAAAATGTAGACATTTAAAACAAATCAGTAATTAACAATTACATTTACTGGTACAACTACAACTCTGTGCAGAGTTATCTGGGAATAAGCACCACTGAACTCAGTGGTGTTTACTTCTTCAATTCAGTGCCTACCTTTGACTGCATAGGAATAATTTATGAAACACATAGAATTTTAACAAAGAATTTTCAGCAAGCTGAAATTCAACATTTAGCTTTTAAAAATGCAAACAAATTTCAAATAGGTGTCATCATTTAAACTGCCAATATGTCAAAAACAAGAGTAAACCTTGAAAGCCTCATTACTGCCACATCTCAAAGCAAGGAGGGTCTCAGAATAATCCCAGCACTCTGGCAAATACATGCCATTGCTCCTCCTCTTAAAAAGGGCCTTGGAACTGCGTTCAGCTGCATTCCTCCCCCCTCTACACTGCTGGTGTGACCACTTTAAGGCGGGTTTTATGTGCTATGGGCACCCTAACTATTTAGGACTCCGTAAGTATGAATTATTCTCTAAACAAACAAATCCAACTATAGTATGCACATAACGAGCTTTCAGTCACTCACCTTTGGTGTTATAAAGAAATACTGAGAAGTGCTCGCTTTGCAGGCAGTTTTTACCACTACATCAAATACTCTTCTTTCATTAACTGGGTCCATTCCCTTTAAAAGAAATAAATGTATTACTATTTCTCTCCTGTGACTGAATATAGTTAAGGAAGTTTTTCTTTCAAATGCTGCACACATACCTGATTTATTTCATCTACTACTCTGAAAGGGCATCTGTTGAGTTCCTGCAAAGACATTAGGTACAACATAGTTGAAACACTTCTCTCCCCTCCACTCTGATGGTGTGGAGTCAGTTCATGAAGTTCGGTGCTGCTGCGGAATTTGACTCTAATCCGAATCCCATACTTGTCATATTCTTCCTGTCAGAAAAACCAGCAATGTTAGCATTCTATAAGTAGACACATAGTAACTGACAATATATGAAACAGGAAACCCTCAATGATTCAATTCAGACATCACATCAGACCAAGGTTTGTGCTCATAGTTTAGAATGCAAACCATGTTTTGAACTTCCAAATGTAAAACAGCAAGCCATGATTTCCCATTATCTTGGCACTGAGCTCCATATATTTATTACTATTTCCATGGTACAACTATCTCTGGAGGCAAAGAAATGATTCACCATTTGGGCATCACACAACAGACTCACATACAAACCATGATTTGCAAACTAATTTCAAAACATGGTTTAATACAGACATCACAACTAAATTACAGGTAAACTTCAGTCAATGGAGTGGAGTAGCTAGAGACCTATGTTCAAATCTTTTCAGAGCCATGAAGTAAACTACTTCACAGTGTTGTTGTGAGCTACCAAAAGCTCAGGGATGAGAAATTCGTGGCCAGGTTCTTCATCCAGCCTACAAAGGTTTGGACCCTTTCTATGGGACTTTCCCCAATCTCCCACCAAGGGCTTGACGAATGAGCAGGAAAAGGAATCCACACTGTTACTAGAGTTAACAGAGGAATACCCCTTGATTAATGCACTGCCCTCTTAACTGGGAGCAGGAGTGGCAAGCCTAGTGCTTTCCCTGCCCCACATCCTCTTTCATGGAATAAGGCATGGGCCTGGTGAAGCTATCCTGAGCCAGGCAAAGGATGGAGAAGCACTCCTTCAACTGGTACTGCAGTTGGGAGAGGCTTCAGCATGTGTTGGCTTTCTCTGGTACACACCAAAGCTGAATGAAGCTAGGCAAACATGGTTCTGCATCCAGAGTTTTTAGCCTGCAGAGAGCTCTGGGGCAACCCAGCCACTGATCCCTCCAAAGTTTGCCTTCTCTGCTAAGCCCTTCAGAGAAGAAGCAAGCAACAAATGTAGCCAGTACACATGCAACAATTATGAAAGCCAATTAATGGGAAAAGGATCCCTAGATATTACTATACTCAATACCTCCTTCCTATAGATGCGAGGGCTGCAAACTCTATTGCTGGATCTCTCCTCACATGTTGGTGCTAATTCAGCAAGAAAAAAGGATGAATAGCCTGTCTTATCATCAAGGCCAGGCATGGGGCACATCCAAACAAAATATAAGACTGCTATTCTTTAGATTGCTTTTGGACTAAGTCCCACCAAAACCACTGAAAGTTATGTCTGAATAGAATTGCAAAAAGTATTTGTCCTTCAGAAAAAAGTATAAAATCCAGATTTATGCAAATATTATCAATTATAAGTTTAATTAATCATAAAAAGCTAGATACACATAAGCCAATGGTAAAGCTAAAGTGGTAAATTAAACAGAAGAGCCAGGTTTTTTTCTTCATTTGTTAATTAAAGGTGGTACACCTCATTCCAGAGGGTTGCATAAAAGATCACTAAATCCTAGGGATTTAGTATGCATTTCCCTATTGCCAGCAGCAAAATTATTTAAATTATATTTTAATATTTTTATATCACCCCTCCACTCAATGCGTGCTCAAGACAATGTACAATGAAGAAAATGTAAAAAGCTAAAACATTTTAAGATAAAATTTACATAAAATGTAAAAAGCTAAAACATTTTAAGATAAAATTTACATAAAATGTAAAAAGCTAAAACATTTTTAAAACCAGAGATTAATAAAAACCATGTTTAGTAAGCATTACTTACTAAATATTTGACAGAACAGCAGTATCTTCAACAGTCACCTAAAGGATTCTAACAAACAGGCTAGGCTAAATTTCCTGGGGAGGGAGTTTCACAACTGGGATGCTGCTGCACAAAGACCCTGTTATGACAATGAACCAATCTCGTATCTCATTTGAGCAGGATTTTCACCAGTCCAGAATTCAGAACTGAACTATTTTTATTCTGTTTTACCCTGCACAAGATCACAGCATATTAGCATAGAAAACCTTGGCAGCAAAGAGGTTTATAAATAAACCTTTATTAAATAAATTTCTGGATTGTAAAAAATACTCCAAAATGTACTTTGAAAGTGGGAACCTGTTTAACAACCCATGAAATCTGTTGGGTGAATGAAAAGCCAGCCAACAGATTTGACAAATATTTTGCTGTGATAAGTATTCTTGAGAGACCTTTATGAAGAAAAGAAACTTTTAAATGGCTAATTCTGGTTCTTGTGGAAAAACTTCATTGCATAAGGACTTTAACCTGAAATCTAACAACACAATCCCAATTGTTTTAACAAGCACAGTAATTTGTAGGATTGTGCCTGAGTAGCCTAAAGTTAGCATAAGAAAGCACAGGCACTGTTATACAAGTATCAAAAAGCAAGCTCAACACAGCTGCCCCCAGCATCTAAGCAGCTGCTTTGACATGCAAGAGGCTTTACAAAAGCTGTGAGGAGAGGCAGAAATATTTCCCAGGCCACCTGGTGCTCCTGAAGCTTTGACCGGCAGCACAATCCTACACTGCTCTACTGTAGTAATTCAGAGAATTTGCCAGGGCAAGTGGGTACCTTTGTCTTGCTGCCACACAATGGACAAGTGCCACCGTGCTGTAAAGGTTAAGAGGGTGGGACTGGGAAAGGCAATCTGGGTTCTAGTTCTCACATGGCCATGGAGCCAACTGAGAAGCTTTGGGTCAGACACAGACTCTCAGCCCAACTTAGCTCACAAGGTTGTTGTGGGGATAAGAATGAAAGCATCGGAGGAGCAGGATGTAAGGCACTTTTGAGTTTGTAAAAAAAGAAGTGGGATATAAATCTAATACATAAATAAATAAGTGAAAGGCCTGCTAACAGATGAAAAGCAGTGCATGCAGTGTTCAAATCTTTCTGCGATTCCTCTGTGTGCATACAAATGGAAGCACAATGTACTTCTATGTCTGTTGACAGATTCTCCCATGAGATTCCCATTAGTGGGGCCTTAGCCACTAAGGCTTGAGGGTGAAAGGTAGGCTTTATTTTTACCACCATGACATTCCAGAGTGCAGCACAATTTATCATCATTGCAGTGAATGGCAGTCATTCATGAATATTGAGAAATAGGTTACATTCATGGATAAGCCTACTGCTGCTGAGCTCTATTTTTGTATTCCTTCCTCTCAACTGTATCTTACACTGTGAATGCAATCCTATGTATGTTTATTCAGAAGTAAGCCAACTATAACTTCCGGCTCTTTGTCCTAGGTGAGCATGCATAGACTTGTAGACTGGATGTGTTGAGAACAGAATGGAAACTACTGAGCTACAGTATCTTTGCATAGCCCTTTTCCTTGCACCTGCATATACCAGCTCAGAGTGCCTTTTCTTAATCTGATAGTAGACAATGACAGAGTCTTAGGAACTGGTTTGTATGTCTACTGAGTTTTTAGGTAATGCAACTGATTCCAGTTCCTGTTGCATCCAGTAAAACCTATTTATAGGGTTGCCAATTTTCAATTAAGAACAATTATCACTCTGAAAAGTTTGCTCAAGAAAAAACGTGATTACTTGCTAACAACTGTTTCTCAAGATGCAATATGAGAAAGCATGTTATTCCTTATTCTTTAATTGAGCTGTTAAAATGCATATATATCGAGGAGAGAGATTTCCTGTCACTGTTAAACAATACATAATCCTGATAATCATACCTCCTTTTCTGTATAAAGATCCACTTCCCCTGCACACTGCATGGAACTAAAGAAGCTACTGAATTTCTCATTAATCTTGTCAACCAGCTGTTTCAAAGGGTTTAACCACCTTTCCTTAACCTAAAAATAAAAAGACTCATGTTAAGAGTGAATTTAAAGCAGAATATTGCATTGATGACTCTAGTTATCATTACTAGTTACTTGATATTTTAAACATGTTGGGCTGGATCCAAATTTAATTATGCTTAGAATAGATTACTGATATCAATGGGACAAACATTAATGAACATTAACTTGCCCCACTGATTTCAATCAGTGTCCCCCAAGCATGACTTGTTTGGCTCCAGCCTGTTAATGGTCTCCCTAATCACCAACCTGCCCTAAGGTACAGGGCTGGGAAAGTGCAGATGCATCACGCCCCTGCACCAGCTATGATCTGAGGTTCGAGTGAGGGGTATGAAGAAGCAAGCAGCCTGAACATACAGTTGCCATCAACACATGCTAAACAAGAGCACCAAGCTGCACTATATCGATGATATAGGTTTGCATTGGTTCCTGACAGTCTGAATGAGCATGGACTGATTTCAAGTTGTATTGATTTCTGGAAACTACTGAGCAGCTGAAGTACCCACAGTGTACGTTCTTGCCAACCCTGCCACCTTTTTCACTCACACTTGGTAATGTGCATGACTCCAATCTTGCTCAGGTTTCCTGCTAAGAAGGAGTGGATTTCCAGGGCCCTCCAGCACAACCATACCTTAATCCCCAGAATTTCAAGCATGCACGAGTGCTAGGGCTGTGTTAGTGGAGGAGCACAGGTCTTGCATGCTATCTGGTTCTACCTGGTGATGGCTGCATGCATATGTATGCTGTGTGCATATGTTCTTAATATTCCTATGGGTGCACATTTTTACTAAACTTTCCATTCACAAGCTATCTGCAAGAATGGGTCTGAGAACTGTAAGAATTATTTATGTATTATAAGGCTAACAGTAGTTGTTGTTAGATGCCATCAAGTCAGCTCTGGCTTATGGTGACCCTGCGAATAAATGCCCTCCAAAATGTCCTGTCCTTGATGGGACTATCTTCCACAATTTAAATGCCTTCATTGTTGACATTAAAGTTCATTCTTCTGTAGCCATGATTTTTATTCCTTAACGTTCAAGCTGCAGTCCTGCTTCTGCACTTTCTTCTTTCAATTTCATCTGGAGTCATTTCAATTTGTTGCTAATTTCTGCCAGTAATATAGTATCATCTATTGCATCTTCCACCAAGTTGCCAAGACAGGTCATGGGCTCTCCCATGGTAGTGATATTCAAGGTAAAACTAGACAGTCATTTGAGTGGGATGGTGAGACTTGGTATCTTGCACCAGCCGGAGGTTGGACCCAATGGCCTTCTTGGCCTTTTCCAATCCTACTATACTATTAATCTATGATACTAATCTAGTCTTCCTTATGATATGTTCTGCGTACAAACTGAACTAAAGCACACCTTTGACTGTTGCCTTTGCCTACAGGAAACTTTTCTGTTAATCCACATTCTGCTGTAACAGCTTCTTGTCCATGATACAGGTTATATCAGGACAATCAAATGCTGAGGCATGCCCATTTCTTCCCAAACCATTCATAGCTTCTTGTGATCCAAACAGTCAAAAGCATAGCCTGATCTTCTGAAATTTGGTGCACTCCAGTAGCCAATGAATATTTGCAATATGATCTCGAGTGCTTCTACCTTTTCAAAATCCAGCTTGAAAGTCAGGCATTTCTCACACCATATAAGGTAAAATTCTTTGAGCGTCACTTTGCTTTCAGATCAGCTTCAACTTAACTTTCTAATTCTTCCTCATAGAACTCCTCTTTGAAGGCTCTTCCATCCTTTCATCTTTTCTGCACACTCTTTCCACCTTCTCTTTATTTTATACTGATCAGATAGTATGCTTATCTGTTGGTTTTTCAGGATGCCTAATTTACATTCAAATTTCTGATTGATTTCTTGGAACATCTGGAAAAGGTCTCCTGTTTTCCCTCTTTTGTTGTTCTCTTCTATTTCTTTACAATAACCATCATAATACTTAATCTTTTTCTCTATGTGATAATTGCTGAAAAGTTGGATTTAGGTTACATTGATAGGTTTTCCACAATTTTTGATATTATTCAGCCAATCTTTGCATGACAGTCCCCTACTGCCTGTGCAACATCTAGTCTCAGTGTTAGAGCCACTCCATTTATCTGAGTTTGTCATTTCCAAAGTAAAACAACTGGTGTTTATCTGACTGAAAATGTCCCATGCCACTCCACTTTAGGTCACTCACACTAGGGACTGCAATGTTTAGATGTCACTTTTTACTTAATGGTTTCCCGTTGCCTTGATCTGTATTTTTCACATTCCATGTTCCAATTGTGTGTGTTGTACAGCATCAGACTTTCCTTTTGCCTCTGGTGGTTCTAGTGGTTCCTTGGGTCAACCACTAGACTTCTTTCCGCATTGATTTAGTTGCATCAGTAACAAAAGTGTTATTTGCACTTGTCCTCTACTTTTCTTTGGAATGTGTGAGGAGTCTACGTACATGACTTGTGGGCTTTGTGTTGCATGTGCTACAGGGAAAGGTTGCCAGGTTGTGCATATGTTTTCAAACTTCTTCTCTGTCTGGCTCACTTCCTAAGCCAGGACTGAGCACAAGAAATTCAATGTACAGAAGAAGGACACATTCCACAAGATCGTCACAACCTAGCTCTTATCCAGTATTTTTTGACCTGGGAGTCTCATCTTCTGGCATTATCTCTTCTTTCATTTTGAACTGCTTCATCACAGTATTTACAAGGTAAGATCATTCAGAAGTGGTTTACGTCTGTGCAGTACTAACTTGAACTGCTTGTGTTTAATGCTGTTGTCTGTGAAAAGTTCTCTGCCAGTATTGCTTTTAACTATCACTGCTGCTTAGTAGCTGCCCTTCAAGAGTTTCTCTGCCCCTATCACCATTAGAGATATACATTCTTTCTGCTGAGATGACTGCTACTCCTGAAGAGGGAGGTACACTGTCGTCTGGTGTCTCAGCTCTCACCATTCCACTGTGGGTGACCCTGCTAGGAGACCAGGCTAGTGTGTCTAGCCTCCTGACAGCACTGCTCGTTTTCTCTGACACCCTCAAATCTCCTCACCAAGTGAAGGTGTGCATCCAAGAGAGGATCTTCTACAATACACTGCATTAATGGATACATATTTCAGAAAAAACATTACAGGTGAATGTAACAGCAGTAATGACTGAAACACGTATTACCTCTGAAATGTTTTGCTTATAATTGTCCAACTCTTTTTTCTTTTCCTCCAGCTCCAATGTCTTCTGTGCTATTTCTTGTGTCCTTTTATCACATTCTTCTACAACCTGGAAGAAAGAAGTTGCATCTTTTTAAAAGACATGCTCTTCTGAATAGAAAAGACAGAAATTCTGCCATCCAGTAGCTCAATATCTGTTGCTTGTTCACATACAAAAGTATATGAAATGTGGTTGTGTATATATCCGATATTCTTAACACAATATGTATTCCTAACTCAAGTGCAGAGAATCCAAGGTACTACTGCAGACAGAAATTCAAGCTATAAGTAATAATAACTGACTTGTTTGCTTCAAGCAGGATTTCTTCTGATCAAACATTAAATGGGTCTGATTTTAAGAACAAAAAAGACATACAAGTAGAAGACTGAATACTTTTCCCTTATTTCTCCACGGTACATTACCATGGACTTATTTTTCTCCTCCATCCTGGAAAGGAGTCTGGCACAGAGAAAATGACTTGGGGCGGGGGGACTAGAAAGAGGTTGCCCAAACCTAAGCTATACTAAACATTAGATTGCATGCAGTTTCCTCCCTCTCACTCTTTACTTACAAGTAAGCTCACCAGAGGACCTATTTTGAATCAGGAATACCACATGCGTTCATGGAAGGTTTAAGCACCTTCTTCCCAGCTCCTTGTTGTCCTAAACTCTCCCCAAGAGAAAAAGCCTCCAATGACACTGATGGAGACTCTTTTACCCCTGAACAGAGGGTGGCAGGGGGATTTAGTCAAGAAAAAGCTGGGAGAAGGTCTAAATATGCTCTGGCCACATGTGGCAGTCCTGATCCAGCTCTGGGCCCCATAGTCTTCTTTTAAATAAAATAAAACAAATAAAATAAAATAAAGATATTTAATGTACCATACAATTTATCCCCCACTTTATGCAAGATTAAGCTAAAAACGGTTATTACACAAGCAAATCCGCCACTATTAATTATATTTATATACAACTTCTTTCTGCAAGGAATGCAAGGTAGCTTATTTTCCTAACCATTTTCCTGAGTCACACACCAGTACTCTAACTACTATGCCACACTAGCTGTCCTGTATTTCACCATGTACTGTATACCATGTATTAGCCAGAGATATTTTTTTGCCATGCTTTTCTTTCTTTTGTTTATTGAGAGCAGAAGTAGCATGGAACATACTGATCCTTGAGGGAAAAATTATTCAGAATTTTAAGAGAATCAGAAACTGGCATTCACAACACGTCCCTGCTGCTCTGATTATCACCACCACCACCAAGCAACCTAGAACAGTGTGGGAGTCATATATTGGGAGTACATACTGAAGCACTGAGACCTGTGAAGCAGGAAGCTCTTAATTTCTCCTCATTCAGTAAAGCATCAATTTCATCCAGTGTTTGTGGAAGATCCCGGAATGCCTATAAGAAAATGATCTTTGTATTAATAAATTGGTCTAATATAACATATTTCAAACTGGCCTCAAATTCACTTTCCTACTCAGATTGTCAGGAATCCAAATATATGCTTTGCAATTCACCTCCAGAAGTGTATTATTAATACTGCTGCTACGGTTATGACAATGGCAAGAGACCCTGCCCTTCTCTGGAGCCTCCCACACCTTGAACTGAGCCTTGGAAGTAGTGAGATGAGTTGCTGCTAAGTCACTCTATTAATGTTATCTGGATTATTATTATTCATTAAAATTATTTATTTCTATACTGCACAATAGTTGAAGTTCTCTAAACAGTTCACAACCATTTCTCAAAAATACAAAAGAGACACAGTAAAAACACGGACAGAACAAGACACAGTATTAAATTTTAGTATACAAGTTTAAAGTAGTTTACATTTGCAATATATATAAATATAAAAGTTACCTACTGTTTCAATAAAATTAGTCCTAATTAAAACAGCTGACTTAACGTATCATATGTCATTAGATGCCATTAAATGTCTGAGAACAGAGTGTAGTTTTAATCTGACACTGAAAAGATGACAATGCTGATGCCAGGTGGTCCTCAGTGGAGAGATGATTCCACAATTGGGGGGGCTACCACTGCCAAGGACTTCCTCTTTGTCACCTCTTCTTGGGCCTCCTTTGAAGATATATTACTCAAGCATCACTCTACACAGCCATCCATCCAAATAGCAGTAGAATTACTACAGTGCCTTACAACCCACTCAGACAGTCACCCTAGAAAGATACCAGGGTTGGTGATATCAAAAGTGACTGAGAGATCCAGGAATATCAATAGGGTTGCATTCCCCAACCAAGGTAGTTTCCATGCCAAAACCAAGCCTAAATCCCAACTTAAATGGATCCAGCTAATCAGTCTTATCAAAGACTGCCTAGAGCTTGGTGGCTCGCATCTACTCAAAAACTTTAGCCATTTGTTCTATGCTGGAACATTTGCCACCAGCATAGGACCTTTCAGACCCAGGGATGGTTTCTCAAGGAGTGGACTCACTACTGCCTCTTTCAGGTGGCATGGGCCCACTCCTCCTTGTAAGGAAGCATCAGTCATCTTTTTGGGCCAGCCTGCTGTTCTTCTCTACTGGATTTTATTAGCGAAGAGGGGCAAGGATCCAAAATAGATGGGTTGCACAAACCTGTTCAAGAACCGTGTCAACATCTTCAAGTTGTACCAGCTGAAATTCATCCAATTAAAGTAGACCAGGCTGTGCTCTTATCAGGTTCAAGTACTGTAACACTGGATGCTAAGTTCTGGTGCATATAAAATATGTTTTTTTCTTGCAAATGCCAAGCAAGTATGTTGCAGTAGGCCTCAAATGGATCTACAATGTTCTGTATGTAATATGCTCCAGGTAACCCTAAAAAGCTTCTCTGGGCAGTAAGTAGAAGATTGAATTAGAGGCAGTAAGATGTGGTTTCTTTGCCACTCTCAGGGCCCCTAAGTCTACCTCAACTGCCTCCACTTGAAATTTTCCTCCATTTATTTATTTTATTTAACACTTTTTAAGACAGTCTCTTACCATAGTCTCGGGAAGGTTTAACAATAAGACAAAATAAAATACAACACAGCATACTAATCAAATTCTTAACCAGTCAACAATAAAGCCCATATTAAAAACAGTCAAACTTTAAAACACTGGAAAAATAAAAAAGGTTTAGCCCAGGGCCAAAAAAAGACAAAGTGATGGTGTAAAGGGGAACCTCTCTGGGGAGTATATTCCACAATCAGGGCCCCACTGAAGAAAAGGCCCTTCTCTGGATAGTAACCCTCCTAATCTCCTTCAAGGAGGGCTCCTGGAGAAGTGCCTCTGCCCCAGATCTTAAGGGGCGGGCAGGCACATATGGAAAGAGATGCTCCTTCAGGTAACATTTGTACTCAAGATCTTTCCTATTTCATCACTTTCAGGTCCAGGTTATACCATGAAGCCATACAAGACATGGAGGAGGCAGTGATGCATCCACTTCTGAAAAAAATCCTATCTTCTTCCACAGTTGTATATTATTTTCCAATCACAAATATCCCATTATTCTGGCAAGGTGCTCAAAAGAGTGATGGTGCTCCTGCAGGCACTCCTGGATGCAACTGATTACTGTGACCCATTCAGCCTGAATTCAGATCTGGGTTTTGGACAGAACTGGCCCTGCTGGATGAACTTCTTTGGGAAAAGAGTGGGGAGAATGTGACCCTCTTATTCCCTGATCAATCAGCAGTTTTTAGTACTGCTGACTACAGTATCTTAGATTTCCTCCAAGAGATGGAAGCATTATTTTACAATAGTTTGTCTCTCTCTTACAGGGCTGTTTCCAAAGAATAACATTTCGTGACTCTGCTTCAGCCTAATCAATTGAACTGTAGGGAGCCAAAGGACACTATCTTGTCTGCAATACTGTTTAATATGGAAATGAAACCATTCAAAGTGGTTGTTATGAGATTTGAGGCAAGGTGGCATCAGTATGCTCATGATACCCAACTCTATTTCTCTGCAACATCTGAGTCAGGAAGGGCCATTCATATTCTGAATCAGTTCCTAGATGCTTTAGGGACTGGACGAGAGCCAGTAACAAATCCCAGGTCCAAGACCTAGTTGGTACACACGTTCTAAATGGGATTGCACTCTTCTGAAGTAAAAGATCCATTATTTGGAGGTCCCTTTAGATTTATCTTTGTCATTGGAGACCCAGGTGAACTCAGTGGCTCAGAGAATCCATAAGCAACTTCAACCGATTCAAGAACTATCTATGTCCCCTTTCAGAATAGGAATAGACTAACCACTGTGGTTCATACCCTAGTAACCTACAAATAGATAATTATACTGCACTCTATTGTGGGGCTGCCTTTGTGCTTAGTTCAGAAGCTGTAGCAAGTGCAGAACACAGCATCTAAAGTGCATTGTGGGGCTCCTAGCCATGTACATATTACTATTTTAAAAGAAATGTAAAGGCTGTTGTAGCTAGCATGCAATTTTCTAGCTCATGTTGCTGACATAAAAGGTAAAGGTTTCCCCTTGACGTTAAGTCCAGTCATGCCTGACTCTAGGGGGTGGTGCTCATCTCTGTTTCCTAGCCAAGGGAGCCAGCGTTTGTCCACAGATAGTCTCCGTGGTCATGTGGCCAGCATGACTAAACACCGAAGTGCACAGAACGCTGTTACCTTCCCTCCGAAGTGGTACCTTTTTATCTACTTGCATTTGCATGCTTTCGAACTGCAAGGTTGGCAGGAGCTGGGACGGAGCAACGGGAACTCACCCCGTTGTGCAGATTCGAACTGGCGACCTTTCTATCAACCAGCCCAGCAGCACAGCAGTTTAAACCGCTGCACCACCTAAAAAGTCCTTAAAAACTCAGGATCAGGATACCTACTGAACCTAGGTAAGGTGAACCTAGGTGAAGTCAAGGATTTCCACCTTCTGAAACACCCCTTCTCCATTCAGCTGAGAAAGCAGGAAATGTGGTGTGCTTCAGACACTTCTAGACATGTAGTTATTCACACAAGCTTTCCCTAGTTCGTAACTGATCATCATGATTCTACTTCATTTTCTTGTCTTTTTATCTTAGTTTTCTTGCTGTAATTGAATTTGGTTATATTGTATTGGGTATGTATTTTAACTGTGATTTTACTATATCTGTTCAGAAACTGTACTACATGAAGTGGTATACAAATGTTACTAGTAATAATAGTTTTGATTATATTTCATTGTTTCTGTAGATCATCCTGGACATATGGTGAAAAGGATGGTGGCAGTGTATGATGTTTGTGCGTGCTCATGATTCCTCCACTGTGATACTTACCTGGTAGAAGTCCTCTGGAATGTCTTGATTTGGCTCAAGGTTACAAGCTTGTCTAGCTTTCCTCATTAAATCCTTACATTTCTCCAGAAGATGATGTCTCTTTTTTTCCAGCTCCAAAAACTGTTGCTAGATTAAACAGAAGCCATGAAAATAAAAGGCCATAGCTATTTTAATGAAAACATTACTGGCTTTTAAGTCAACACTCAGAAAGGTTAGTGAGTCTTCAGATCTTGTGATATGTCAACTGAAACTTATCCAGTGGTCAACATTTTTTTTAAAAAAACTAGAGTTTCTCTTTTTTTGTCTTATTGGTTTTGTATTGATCTGGCCATACAAGAGCATTCACATCCCATTTTGTTTCTTCTTTTTTCTTGAAATTACTTACGTGTGTTGAGGACTTTCCTGAACCTGCACGTACATTGATCACATAGTAAACTGCAATGAACTTTGCATAATTTAAATGAATTGCACCTCACAAGGTCTGGGGGAAATATGTTTTCTGTAAGCATGCAGAACCTAATCAAGAGGGCTTTACACTAAATCCTGTAGGGGATCAAAACAAAAGCCCAAAGATGAGCACTAAAGACAGGGATCAAGGTGCTACAAGAGAAGCTGGTGGGATTCTGGGAGTGCCTAGCAAGCCCAAACATTAAAATAGCAGATGTACCCATGGCTTTGGATGTCTATATAATAGTACACAGAGAGCAGGAAATAAACAAAGATGAACTGTTCTCCAAGTATGGAAAGGTAAGTATGACTCGGCAGGTATAATTGAGCCTCAGTGACACAACTCACATGACTGAAATGTAGCAACTAAAGGATATAACTTGTTCAAAAAACATTTTATGTACAAAATGTGTGCACTGCACAGACGTTTAAGAATGAGAACATGGTAGCCCTGTGCAAAGCGTTTGGGTAAAAATTGATTTATCCTAAAATATTATTTTAAAATTCATTAATTATTTTAAAAACTGAAAATGGAAATAGGGAGGAACCAAACTTAACAAATGACAGGTTTCTATGAATCAGATACCACCCATGTATTATCTTCAGAGAGGTTTCTCTGGTATTAGCAGATAGATTAATATTGCGGGGGGTGATGTCCCCCAGATACTCTTCCAAGTTGCATCATCAATAAAACTAGGTAAGTTTAACTCCCACTATTGCTTCAGACTACTTCTTTGGCTCTCATCTGAGTTCAAAAGTATCTTATATATAGTTGAACCCATCCTTTTAACAAAAGCCCTATCATTATTAATTTCTCAAAATTAGTTATGCTTCAAACTGCTTAGTCTTTTCCGCCATTGCTAAAAAGGAAAAAATGCAGTCAATATCCTATGAGCCATGTGATATCAGAATTTACTACTTGTTGCTTGGAAACTGAAAATGAGAATGGAGTCTTATTCTGATAAAAAAATCTTTAAAAATCTGTATGATGCCCTCTCTTTCCATCCTTTTAAGTCACATATATTTTTCAGGAAAACTGGATAAAAGTAAAGGGGAAGCAAAGGTGCATTTGCTGGGGCAAGAACTGCAGACTTCCTGACCCAAATTTCAAACACAGGGTGTGGGAACCTGTTCACAGTCCAATATCACAATTTAAATTTGTGCCTCATAAAAGGAGCACCTGTCAGAGGGATCCCGCCCATTTTAACATTCTCTAGAGACACCAATTGTCTGCAATTGGCAGACCCCATAATGAAGTAAGAGATTAGGGATATCCCTCCTTGGTAATCAACTCTTTGGCATCCTTATATACACAGTTTATTATGTTCTTCTCGCTTCAAATGTTAGCTAGCTTATATTTTTTTAAAAATTCTGAAATCAATCTTATTAGAAACTTTTCATACTGGACTGTTGAGATCCCAAAGAATTTAGGATTTGTAACTGCTAAACTAAGTTACACTGTTTTCAGTAAAATTATTTTTAAAACTGCCACTGGAGGGCTCCCTCACTGTTCTGTTCAGTGAAGGTCTGAAAGAATATTGCACTTAAAATACTAAAGCAGTGCTGGAGAGGGTTAATTCACTGTGTGATCCAAGTGGTCAGGAGACAGAGCAGCTCAAAGACCAACCTTCTATGTAGTTGGTTTCATTTTTGAACTGCTTATTAGGAGTTTCTTCTAATGATCAACTAAGCTGTGACACGCCCCAGGCAATGCTCCCTTCCCATCTTTTCCATGTGCCAACCAAGGAGAGTAAAAGTTTCTATTTCCAGTTTCAACTAACCACTGTCCCCTAAGGTATCTGATCTGGTGACTGCTTATTTTATTTATCAGATTTCTATCCTACCTGTAAGCAGCTTACATCATTATTCTCCTCCTGCTCTCAATCTCATCCCCATAAAAAGCATCCTGTGAGGTAGTTTGGGCTGAAAGTCTGTGACCAGCCCAAAGTCACCCAGTTTACTCCATGGACTAGAACCAAGACTACCTGAATCCCAGACCCATATGCTTAACCACTACACCACACATGCTCTGTTCTCACTAAACAGCATTTAGACAAATTCCTCTGAGTCAGGATAGCACATGGAACCTTCATTTATTTAAAACTAGAAACAAAAACTTTTGATCACCTCCTCATGGATTCAAAAAGAAGAAAAGAGGAAGCAGCAGTGAACAGGTGCAAGGCTCACCTTGGCTCTATGGTATAGCAGGAAACCATAGTTGGAATTGGGTCATATTCTTTGCAAATTATGGCAACATAAAAAATAGAAAATGTAAACATACTGCCAAGCCATCATATTTTCTGTGTCTAACATCTATTTACAGAAGTTTGAGGTAATTTTATACATTGTTAATAAAGCTAATAATGCTACTAATAGAGCTGCTGTACTTTCCATTATACTAGTTGGACCCATAGCTATTGTAATAGGGAGTTAATTTTCATAAAGCATGTCCCAAATAAAGCATTAGCACTCATTTCTGGATCAAGACAAGTCACCAAATCTCCCTTCTGTGAGCTCCACTAATCTGCCCACAATGCTTTCACTTGTTACCAGTTCCTCTAATAAATGTTAATTCCCCTTTGGACTAGCTGCAGACAGGTAAGACAGCATACTGCCCTTACTGCTATGGATATCACCCAATACAAAGGCAGCCTTATAATTTGCATGCATAATTTTTTCAATATTTGAAAATATTACTCAATCCCTAACATACCATCTCACTATCTAAAAATAGCTGTCTGAATCAGATCATGAAGTTAGTTCTGACATTAAAACTTTCCTCTAAGGAGATTTTTTGCAATTCTTTTAATAGAGCTTTATAAATGAATAATAAAATAATAATTATGCATTTAGATTCATCCACAGCAGTCATTTTAGAAAGCCCATATAAGGAAAATATCAAAAAGCTTTAAAGGTTAGAAATCAGCTGATAACACTGAATGGAATCTACAAGACATGACTACTCCATTCATTTCAGAAAGGAAATCAGGTGCTGAACAGAGAAAATTTATCTCTTATCAGTCAAAAAGGTAATGCACAGGAGCAAAAGCTTCTTTGGACTTCTCAAGAACAGTAATGAACTCTGTTGTTCTGCACACCAGAATTAGTATGCCTTCTTACTTCATGAGGAGATAGTTATTCACTAAAGAACTAGAATTCTCCACATTATTTTGTCCACTTATTCCTCCAGCATTAAGAGAATTTGAGGGCGCATAAACAATATTTTCCAATAAAAATGAGCTAAAGAGGTGTGTATGGAAAGTACTTGTAAATTATTACAGATCAGCAATGAAAACAGAAGATTTTAGTGTTCTTAAACAGGTTTTAAAATATGTACTGTAATCCATGTTCACAATAGTACTTGGAGGACTTTTCTCCCCAAATGTGCACTGGTACATGTACCAAAGTACTGAAAATCAACAAAAGCCAGACAATTAACAAGACTCTCTCAAAACAGTTGTCAAACACAAAGGTGGCTGTGCCAATTATCTGATGAGCAGATGGGGCTAACAATCCTCCCTACTGTTCCATATGGGTCATAAACACACATTTGTCACTCACATTCATTAAGAAACTAAACAGCCAAAATTGCTTAAGATAATATTAGAGTTCTTGACCTAAGGTGCCATGCTGAACACTGAAATGCACAAAATTTGCTAATGCTCATGCGGCATTTTTAAATGTGCATGCATATCAACAAGAAAAACATATTCTATGCCAATGTTTTAATTTTTGTACTGAATGCCTGTGCTGACAAGCTTACAGAAAGCACATAAGCAGCATTTGTCTCCCACACACATGCATGCACGCATACACATAAAACTGAGTTGGATTTTGCCTGTCTGACACAACTTGTACAAAACGTTTTTATATAGACTATCGGCACAGTTCATTAATATTGGCACATGAGAGGCAGTGGAATTTTATTTGATTATTCAGCCTACTCATTAAAGCTAATGTCTTTAACTGCTACTGTTCTGATTGTCTGAATCCACCATTAAGTACAAACACTTTTTTTTAAAGGAGACAAGAGAAACCATCACAATGGTTTCTGGCCCTCATCTTCTTGTCCAGTAATGTGTGTAAAAAACAAGTTAAGTGCTGACTTACTCCTACAGAGGCAATGTAATCTATGTAACCACTATGCCTCTTCACGTTATTTTGCTGATGTTGTTGGAAAATATGTATGTTCATAGGAAGCTACCTTATACTGAATCAAATTATTGATCCATTAGGCTGATTTTTGTTGCACCTGGCAGTTCTCTGAAAATTCAGCTAGGGAACTTTTGTAGCCCTACCTGGAGAGGCCAACGACTGGATCTGGGATCTTTGGTAGCAAGCAAAGCACACAGCTATAGCGCTTGCTCTAAACAGCTTCACATATATCTGTTTACAAGTCCATTCAACAAGTTTAAAAGACTTACCTTTACAGCTTGTAATTGTACAGTTGCAGTCTTATATTCAGTCTCAAGTTTGCTCTTGTGAAAAACTGCTGTTGTATGTTGGAGAACCAATTTTGTCTTGTGTATGTTCAGGGTCTTGCAGTTCTACAGAAAATAAACATTATTCAGAAGAGGTTGAGGAAGAGAAGAGTATGAGTATTTGTCATTCTTCAAAGCGCTACAAATCCAGAAGCTATGACTTTTATGACTGAGCAAATATTCTATGTCTGGGAATTATCGGAATGAATTGGTTCACATTACCTGAAACCCCATCATGGCTTCTAAGGCACAGTGGGTTAGTATACTGTGCCACAATGAACAGCCATGGTCTGGTTCTAAGGCTTCTTTCACCCACAACCTGTGTGACTGACCCCATCATGGGTGAAAATAGGAAAAAGGTTAGCAAACAGCTTAGCAAAATCCCCTTGCCAAGCTTGCCCACATCTCAAACCAACTTGCAACACCACAGGTCTGAACAGGCAATATTGTTCATAAACTAGTACATTTTGGAGAGCAATTGTATGCTAATGATGTGGATACTCCACTGATTTGAGTTCATATACTGCTCAGCACATTATAACTAACACCAAGTGCTAACTTGCATGTCACTGGTCAACAACATTCATATCATCTAGCACCATACTTCTAAAATGGAGCAGGTAACTGAATGGGAAGTAATTAAAAACTGAAATTAATAACTAATGCACATACTGATCAATACTTTAATCAATGCCTTTTACAAGAGGGAAAGGAAGGAATGCAAAACAGTAACTCATTATAATTTGAATGCGTAAGAAATTTGTGTTTACCTTTATTAATTCCATAAATTCTGTTACAAGTTTTACTTTCTCAGTGTTGATTCTTTTTATTTTAACATTTACTTGTTCAGTCTCTTCTTCTAGGTTGATGGCATCTTGTTCCATTTGTCTTAAACTGTGCAAAAAATGAGCAATGCTTTGTGACTATTACAAAATTTCTATTTCAACATTACAGAGGCAGGATTAATGAGTATTTCTGAGAACTGGAAGGCAAAATAGCTTCTTTTCAAATATAGAAAACCAGAATATGCTGTGCAACCATCTTAGAGGCCACAGAAGACTCTACCGAGCTTGTTACCATTAGCAAAACTCTAATTTTCAGTAATGCATATAGAGGTCCTATCACCATTGCATTAGCAACTTGCATTTTGTTTGAAACAACTAAGCATAGGCTATCCCTCTAGATAATACAATAATATTTTCATCATCTCAAGTCTCCAAACTGAATTCAATTGACTCAATTAACAGTCCACTGTTAGACTATGTAATCACATACACAACCTTTTTAAAAAGGAAAATTAATGTCAAGAGTTGGTCCCTTCCTTCTGGTTTCAGAAAATCAGACAATCCTCTGAAAATGCAGTTCTTTCATTTAGACTGCACAAATTACAGAACACTTTGAACTTTAAATAGCCTTCTATCAAAACTGATAAGAGAAGCCCCTGCTTATGTAAAGATTTGAATCCAACTTTCCCTTGATCCCTCCCTTTCAGTAAAGTTTCCGGCTCCTCCCTCAGGGTGGCTCTCACAGATTGAGGGCAAGATGCCACAAAAAGCAAGGCCCCTCCAATTGATCAACTCATTTCTCCCAACACCTCCCTACTGGGTCAAGAACTGGGTCTCTCAGCCCAACCTTTCCCACCTGAAAACCCTTCTTCCCTTTCAAAACAGGCGGATTTTCACAAATGGCTTCAGAAACTCCACTAGGCACAACTGAAGAAGCTTCGAAGACTTTGCCCTCTACCCTGCTCCTCCCTCACCTTGTCCTCGTCAGAATTCTCCAGCAACTCCCACTGAATGATCCACAGTGTGTGAGACTGGCCCACACTCTCCAATAAGCATGTTCTATTAACATCAAAGACGTTAATTATGTAGCCTAAGTTAAGCTCTTTAGTCTCAAAATCCTGGAAACAAATACATGCAAGTAGAATTTTGTCTGTACAATGGAGCTTCCTCTACACCACACCAAAAGAGACCCTAGAAAGCTCCTCCTGAAGGTCATGAAAACTTCTGAAAAAGCATGGGATGCCATGAATGATAAACTGGTGAAAATTTGCATGAACAAAAATACCTTCACCCTACACTGGAATACCTTTGGAATAATACAAATTATTTCAATGGGGAAGATTTGAGCAAGTGTTATCTCAAATCAATGAGACTTTGAACGTGTTTAACCCTGATTGGATATTGCCCACATGTAGCATCCTATTGTGTCCATGTATTTGCAGGGCCACCAATTGTGTAACAGGGTTTTTGTACTCCTGAAAATAATCAGAGAGAAGCATAAACACTCATTTCTAGATTGGGGAAGGCCTGCTCATTTCCAAGGTCATTTTTAGAAATGCAAAGGAGTTGGATTCTCTGACTGTAACAGAACCAAAAAGGTGGAACAGCCAAATTGGATAGTGTGCTAAGTATTTTTCTTCCAGGTATTTAAATACCAACACATATGCAATATGGCAACCACAAGGGTGGCTTTCTACAAGTTAAAGCATTTTAAGATATACAAATTGGTCTTAGGTTTCTACACATACCATTCCTGTTGTTTTGCATAATTTATAAGCTTTTGTAAGCACTGTAATTTAATTAAATTGCCCACACTGCTTGTTTCTTTTTGATTTATAATGTACCATGTAATGGACGTGAAAATATCATTCTCTGGTTATTCCCAGGTGGCAATTTTTTTTCTCTATGCCTTAAAAATGTGTGTGAGAATATACATTTCAGTCATATTTCCAAGCCATGCTTCTTCTCCCCATCACCCCTCCTGCCCTAATGAAGGGGCTGATATTTGTAAAATTCTAAAGTGACTTTAGACTTTATAGCTTGCCAATGAAGCTGAAGTCAAGCTGAAGTTGGGGATGAAAGGAAATGCTGTTGCAAAGGGGCTGAAGTTAAAGGCAATGGGATGCAAAACAGCTCAAACCACTTGAGCCTACTGAAGATGAAGAACCTAAGGAGTTAAAAATGAAAGGAGCTGCCAAATTAAAGGGCGAACATGTCTGACTATGATCTAAATCTAATGATGTTTGTATTCACTTTTAAAGTCTTCTTGTAAAGATGAGACTTCCACTCTAGGGAGGGGTTTGAATGAATATATTACTGCTGTTATCACAAGAGTGCTGACCAAATGTGGTAGTCAAGTATCACAGTGCACACATTATTAGCACAACTACAAAGTATCTGCTTAACTGAAATCCTAGATTAAAGGGAAGAAAAGTCAGTGGTTAAAACCAAACAAGTTGATCCTTAATCCTCAGTTTCAAACTAGATCTTGTGTCAGCTTTAACACAATCAAAAGTTCACATTTCTCCTCAGAATAACCACTTTGAAATGGTCCCAACTCAATAAAACAAAACTTCTGAGTCACTCCTGTTTCTTAAAATTAAATTATATTTAATTTTATATATTTACAATTAAAATAATTAAATAGGTATACCTTTCATATTTCAAGCTAATTTTTGATTCCAACTGCTTCCTTTTGTTATTTCGGTCCAGAAGGTCCTTTTTCTGTTTTCTCAATTCATTGTCTTTGCGTTCCAACCACTTCTGTCTCTCGTATAGTGTAGCCATATGAGAATTCAGAGATTGCAGCTGCCTGTTAATTTCCTGAAGTAACGAGCAAAGAATAAAATACTGTTTTACAATGTTCTCAGTACAATTTTGCTAAGGCTGGGTGAGAACTTACTGTATTAAACCAATCCATCACCTCATGCTACTCCCATGTAAAGCAGCAATTTTGAGAAATTTGTTTACTGTATTCTTTGCTACTAACATTTTGCTGGATGCTTCTCTATTCTCTGTATATTTGCTTAGAAATAAAGTCCAATGAGTTCAATAGGACTTAATCCTATTTATTTGGTGTTGAATTGCAAGGGGCATGCTTAGAATTACAGCATTACAAAATGGTAAATACAGTGAAAAATGAATATAAAATGCCATTCAAATTGCTGAGGCCAAAGACATTACAGCATTAATAACTTCCAACATTGTTCTGAAATAAAATTTGTTAACTGCTTGTTTTAATAGTATGTTGAAAGCTGCATTTTAAAACCATCCTTTTCCATATCTGAGTTGTTTTGATATCTATCTCTCTTTTTAAAATTATATTATTCTTGCTACTTTTGCATTATTTTAGACTGTAGTCCTAAAGAATTGCTGCAAGACTGTAGAGCCCTCCCAGTAAGGGCTTTCTGGGGCAGGAAGAACAACAGAGGCATTTGAAACCTCATCATCCTCTTTTTACAGTATTTTAGCTAAATGGGCCCCAAGTCTACCTAGCTTGCTTACCCTGCTGGGGACAGAATTTGGAATGGGGAGGGGAAATGAAAGAGAAAGGAAGAAGATCTATATCTATAGGCATGAAAGAGGCCCTGTGAAGCCCTAGATATTGTTCAGGGCATCATAGGATTATCCTGCTTAAGCATTTTTACCACTGGTTTAATTATCCATGTTTTCCCAAGATCTCCAGACATATGACAACTCACAAATAAAAACATCAACAACTCAACATACTTCATTTTGATTTTCCAAATGCCTTCTTTCTTCTGCATCCACTGTGACAGTAAGGAACTGTGCTGGCCTCAGTGCTGAGTTACTAGAAACACTTTGATTTGTGTATGGGGATACTTTTATCATATATCTTTCTTCTGCTGTATAGATTTGTTGAAGTTTGGTTTCCTTTATAACCTGGACATGAAAGAAAATCAACAATACAATTACATCAAGTGATTCTGTGAGTAGAAAATTAGGCAATAGGTCATATTTTTAGTAGCTGTAACACAGATTCCCACCACCACCTTACACCACGCAGTAAGCTAAGGAAGGGGAAATAGAAATTGCCCATGCAATGTCTAACACTGTAAGAAAGGAACAATACTCCTTTCATTCTTTCCTCCATTCAAATCCCTCCCCTCAAAAAAGGATTTCCAGGCCTGCCTTTTAAAGCCTTAAGGCCAGGGGTGGTGAACCTCTTTGAGCTCAAGGATCAAATCAATTTCAGAGAGACTCTTGAAGGCCACATTCAGGTGGTGGGAGGGACATGAGGCAAAAGTAGTGAAGCCAAAATACCAGCTATACTAGCATAGTATAATAGCTTGACACAATTACTGCCAGTAAATAGCCTCAGGAGATACATCTCAAACTTTCTAAATGGTAAGAAAATGTGCACAAGCTGGAAACTACCAAGCCGTTAAGTGACTGGAAAAGAGGCAACATGACCATCCACAGAACCCTGGCCTGAGGTGCAAGGTTCTGTACTCCTTTAGATCTCATGCATGTTTAGACAGAAGAGGGTCATATAACTTTCAGCATTCACCAGCCAGCATTGATACCTGGGGATTGCTAGGAGTTGTGGTAATTTTTACTGTCTAAACTTACACAGAGTTGCAACCTCACTGATAAGGAAAAGCTCTGCTAACCTTCTCAGTTACAGTGAATTGAATATCGTGAAAGTTGTAAATGAAGTAGAGGTTTCACTGCTGCTGTTTTAAGTTTGCCTTTTGTTTTCTCTCTGTGTGTAGACATTTTTATATGGCTTTATAAATAAATAAAGTGCTTTTTAGGCAGCTTTGTCTTTTTTTGACATTTTGTTGTAAATCATTCTGAAAGCCCCCAAGGTATAAGTTATATATTTAAATATAGCAAATAACAAGCAGAAGTTATGAATATCCAGGCATCAAACATCAATTATTTTCAGAATTACATCAGCAGACTTCCTAGACACTACAGTTCTTTTCGTAAGTTTGACATGTCTCACCCTTTCAATCATAGTTTTGGTTTTCTCTGTTCCCACAGGGACCTCATGAATATGATACTGACAGCACAGGTAACTCATCACAGGGAGGGGAGCATCAAATAATTCTCGCAAGTAAGAAAAAAATCCATATCGGCTGGAGGAAGAAAGAGACAGTTAGATACTTTCCCTCTCATCATGAAAATAATCCATCAGTTCTCAAAACAAAGTGTCAAGGAAGAAAAATACATAAATATAGAATCAAAGATCTCACTTTAACTGAGGTTCAAAGTTAAATTCATGCAACACCAAAAGCCCAATGTCACAAGCTTGCCACACACAGAATTATGCAAATAGTAAATGATTATTTAATCAGCTAAGGACAAAATTCTATGCATATTTAGACAGAAAAAAAGTCTTATGGGTCCCAGCCTGCTCCAGCCAGCCTTTTTGCTGTCTAAACATGCATAGGACTGCACCTTAAATTTGATGTACTGCCTAGTAGCTCTGTTCATCAAACAGAAGAACAGACATTTGCTGTTCTTCCCTAACTTCAGCACAACGCAACAGCAAAAGGAAGGAGGAATAGAATTCTTGAAACATTACCAGGCAGTGAGGAAATGAACTGTTAGCTGATATACCTCTCTTCCCTCCTTGAACGATGTCTAGTCTTAAAATCTTTAGTAAACACCACTTTCACCTGTTTACTGGTATAACTTACTAGGAAATTCAGAATCTAGAGATAAAAATCTAGGCTTTTTAAGTATCTGGTTGTCAACCAGGCAAAAGCAGCCAGGTGATCCACTGTACAATCACTTTCATACAGGCACTTTTGCCCATTAAAATTATGTGATGTTTTAAGAACAGTAGTTTATCTTACTATAGCTTACTTACTATAGCTCTTCAATTGGTTTTGAAGGTCGGTTTTCAGCCCATGGCTCATTAGGTGCACACACAGCATTCACTTTTAGTTTTTGTTTATCACGCATCTGAACAAGATTACACAAATTTTAGAAAGATAATGCTTTTGGTTACATTAAAATGATATTGCCATTATTACACTGCATGGTAGAAGTGGTTTTTGATTGTTCATAAATCACTAAAGAGACTGGTTGTAAACAAAGGCAATGCTTACATAAAAACAGAAATCTAGACGCTGTGATTCCTTTCACAGCTTTCTCAAATAGTAACAGGAGTAACAAAAGAGGGCATTTTTAGAACTATCACTGTCTCTGCACCTGTGTTTATGTACAGACATGGTCAAAGATATGTCCCACTTACCCTTACCCTTTTTGAGTTATCTACACCCTGTTTATCTTAAAACAAAATAAATTTTCTGACATGGAAATAGGAGACTAGCAACTCTTAATTTAATATCAGAAGAATAAGGAAACTGACATTACAATCCTGTTTTGTCTTCAGAAGCAAGCTCCCTTGAATTTTGTGAGACTGACACCCAGACCGATGTGAATAGATCACAGTTTGAATAACCATATATTCACATTTTCCCCTTCTCTCTTCTCCAACAAGGTAATTTCTAAAAGATATAATATTTCAGGCACTTCTCTTATATTTGGGGCTGATGGGTGGTAATGCCATTTAGTTATGCATCTAAGAAAAATGAATAGTTCTCCACCACTGTTTCATTCTATGATAATGATAAACAGAGTAGGTGCGCATGATATAACAACCCAGACTGTTTTTTGCAGGATGGATTATGTTTTGGCTACAAGCCACCCTAATAACAAATGACTTGTTCTAAGTGTTGAACCCACAACAGCAAATTCATTGTAGGTTACAGGAACCAGGTACTGAGCCACTAAACAAGAAAAGCAACAAGAACAGCAAAACACCCACTCAGCCTTACCACTATGCATGACAGCCTCACCACTGATGCTCAAGTGGCATATTGGAATGGTTTGCCACCATTTTAGCCTCAGAAAATTATGCAACCGTGTTCGGAAAGATTTTATTGTGGTTACTTTTGTTGGTCTTTTGCTGCTACAGTAAATATTCCAAAAAAGAGGAAAGAAAAGGAGGGAAGCTGTTATCTTCTCTTACTGCATGAGCTAAAGACACAGGGAACTGTTGAAATGGTGGAAGACACTGAAACGTGTTAGTTCAATACTTCAAATCAAGAGGATTACATTGTTAAGTGGGAAATATCATCTCCCCTCCTCTGAGTACATCCTGTTTTGCTACTTTTTATCCCCTTTACTGGGGCTTCTCAATTGACAATAGGTCTGTAGAAACTGTACAAATTAATCTATACGCAGTAATGTTAGCACGCATGTTACCTATTCTACTTTCTGCTCCCTCTGGCAGCTGAAACAGGCACAGGAAGTGGCCAAGCAAGAGTGCATATATCAGATAGGTCTAAGACAATTTTAAAAATTGCCTGACAATTTAAAAAATTACATACATAATTGCTCATAATTGTCCTTTTTACTGTGATTTATTAAACAAAAACAGGAAGGTCTGAAGCATTTTAACTAAGATACTATCACAGAGTAATTCCCAAATTACTTTACAAGATAATTCACTTTTGTGTCTCTGCTATCAACTGTAGGAAGTTGATGACAAATTAGAGACAGGAGATTTTAGCAAAAGTTATATGATTACTGATTCATGCTTATAGCATTAAGTGTTTTAGATATATGACCTTATATATATTGGGATTGAGGTTTTATAAATCTTTGTTATTCACCTTCCTGTTTTTAATTCATTTTAATTGTGATGACAGAATAGTATTTTTAACTTTAACTTTTAATTATGCTGGCTTATGGTGGTCTATGACAGTAATAAAACTGAACTAAAAAAACAGCAATTTTCTGAGACAAAAAAAACCCAATTACATATTTCTGAGGCACAAAAAATGGAATATAAAAAGCAGCAAATGAAAAGGGGAAGCAATTGGAGTAGGGTGCTGGAGACAAGACCAGCTCCACTGCAAATGACAATGGGATACTGGCTGGTGGTCTGAGTGGGAAGGAGGGTGAGAACACGTGACAGAGAGCCAAATTGTCTTTTGGGTGCACTGTGGGTTGTTCCATGAACAACTCACACTGTGTAGCTTATTCACAGAGTGGCTTAACACAGTGTGTAATCACAGCCAATGTTGACAGAAAAGACTGTTTATTAGAAGACCCCTGTACCAACTATTTTTAATCTTAGAAGTGCTTGCCTCTCTGAGAAAGGTTTCCATGTCCTCTCTGATTTCAAAAACAAATGACCTCATGTCATTGGACGAAATGTGATTTTCTACGTATTTAGCATGCTTGTGATCTTTCATATTGATCTGTACAGAAAGAACATAAAAAGAAGCTGACATTTATAGAAAAGTAACAATAAAATTTAGCTAACAGTTAAGGAATTGTGTTCACATATTGTTAGAAAACACTAGGCTTTTAAAAGAAAAGTGAGGACTATTTTCATGGACATTAAACTGACTGAAAGCATTCAGACTTAACATGTCAGCATATCAAGTTAATGTTTGAATCCAATTTCATTTTGGCAAGATATAATGCAATGTAATTTTATTAATACAAATAAAACTTAAAAATCTAGATTATGTTGCATATTTATAAAGAAACAAAACTTAATTTCACCCATTGTTTAAAATGGTATTAGGCTTACTAGTGTCAAGGCACCTTGATTCATAGTTTGGGAGCTGCACTGCAGCCCTGTTATGTACACCTTTGTGTCATGGGACGGATTATTTTAGTGTCAGTGCAACTTCTTTCTCGAACACTCAGCTTACGTGAAAAGTCCCAGATAATGTGGAAGGGAGTCAGAACAAAGAGTTTTCCCCAGAGCACTGTCAACCCAGATTCTGAAAGTGGCATATGAGCCACAGTGTGGAGCTTCTCACATCACCAGAGCAATACACGAACAAGACACATTAGGAACAGTTCCCATGATGCAAAAGTCATATCAGAATGGGGTCTGAGTTTATGAATATACAAACATATCAAACAAATACTATAGTCATCTTGTTAAATTTACATAATAATAATCCAACCATGAATTGCCATGAATTAACAGAAGGGGTCACCTACAGTTCCCTTGGGCAGGATAAGTTTATGATTAAGTTGGTCTAATTATCATTGTGTAATCTCAAAAAGAATTGGCCTCAAAAAGATAAATACATCTAAAATTTTAATTTCATTGTAACATCATTTTTTATAATCTCAAAAATAGGATAAAACAACCTACTGAAAAAATTACATTTGGGAAGTGCCAGATGACTAGAGAAGGGCTAATGTTGTCACTATCTTCAAGAAAGGGAAAAAAGAAAAACCCGGGAACTATAGACCAGTCAGTCTGATATCAATCCCTGAGAAAATTCTGGAGGAGATTATAAAGCAGTCAATCTGCAAACACCTTAAAAACAATGCAGTGATTATTAGAAGCCAACGTGGATTTTTCAAGAACAAATCCTGCTAGACTAATCTGATTTTGTTTTTTGATTGCATAACCTCCCTGGTAGACTGTGGGAATGCTGTGGCCATAACATATCTTGACTTCAGGAAAACTTTTGACTAAGTACCCCATGATGGTTTAACTTGAATTCCGCACTGAGCAGGGGGGTTGGAACTGATGGCTCTCTGTTCCCTTCCAATTCTACTACACTATGATTTTATGAATACATTATTATCTGAATTATCAACTGAAATGAACACAGCTTCACATTTTATGATTTTAATGCTATATGGCAGGCTTCATTTAATCTCAGGAGGGAACACCTTTTTGGAAGGCTCCTAAACCTCAATAATGTCCAGGATATAGGATGGTAGGAAAACAAACCTCCTACTAGAATAGCCTACTAAGAAGAGGGTTAGCAAACATATCTTTGATACTTCACAGTATCTATGTAATCTATCATTTTCAAAACAAAGGCTTCAGATTCTCTATTCTGTACTATTTGTACTTAAATTTACAGGAAGCAACTTTAAGTACAAATCAAGATACATGCATGCCAAGTTTGACTGCACATGATAAAACAATGGATTATGCAGGAAAGCTTTTAAAAAGGGTTATAACATAAGTGTCATTTAAATCTTAGTTATGATTAAGTAATACAATATTGAAGCAAATCAGCTTACTGAAAGCATCACAGGGTCACAGACACTTCTTTTAAACCGGTCTCTGTTCTGTCTGAGCCACAGAAGAGCATTATATGTGTCTTGGAATCTCCCTTTGAGCTTCTCTTCTTTCATATTCATCATATTTTCAATTTGCACAATGCGATCAGCCACTCCTATAATTTTTTTAAAAAATCTTTAAAAGTCATGTTTACTGTATTTCATTATTACAGCTACAGGCACCGTTTAGTTTCTCGAATGCTGAGATATCTCACAGGAATGCCTATGAAAGAACCATACACTTTTCACTCTCTTCAACCAGTAGCTGATCTTAGCAAGTAGCTGACTGACAGATTTACATATACTTTTTCTAAAAGGGTCCAGTATTAGTTTGGGCCCTGTATCACCCAATATGACTACCACTACTAATAAATTACATTAATACCTCACATTTTTTCCTTTCATGGGGATCCCAAGATAGCTTACATAGCTTCACTGTTATCCTCACAACAATCCTGTGAAAAAGTTAGGCTCACCATGGCTGGCCCGAAGTTACCCAGTGACTTTCATGGTTGAGTGAAGATGAGAAGTTGAATCTCCTCAGACCCACTCCACCATACTATACTGGCTCTCTGGGAGAAAGTCTAGCTCTAAGACAAGTTCGGGTTTTTTTTTAACCATTGTTATTCTTTGTAGCTAGATCTTATAGCAATAGCCATCCTGTTCTTCCACACCAACCTCTGTGCTAGCTGGAATTTTAACGAGAAACTTAGGCCAGAATTCAAAGGGTTTTTACATAAAGATTCACTGACTTAGAGGGACTTACATGATTCTCCAAACCCATCTTCCCATGACCATTCCCCAAATATGGAAGAACTTCAAGATCAACTATAGTGAGACTATAGCATGAGCAGCTATGACCTGAAAAAATATTAGGCAAATTCTGATAAGTGATTTGCCACACCAGCTACAAAGAACAAAATAGCCCAATATGAGCTAAACTGCTCACATCACCTTCTTTGCCATGTATAATACATAAGCTGAAATGGACTCTATACCTTCTAGTTGGTTGTCAATTATCAAGCCAATGTTTTACTGTGTAATTGAAAACAGCATTAACAGACATTAAACAATTAAAGCTATTTGCCTTTTCCATCATTCAGCAACTTCTCCTTCTCCCTGTGCAGCTCATTTAATTCACTATCTATATTTGCCTTCTCTTCCACCAACTGTCTGAGCTCAGCATTAATAGAATTAATCTGAGGCTGAAAATTTTCAGGACTGTCTGTATTTTTTAGCTCATTAGTCCAATCTTCTATCATTTTACGGGTGTTCTGTATTCGTGTCTGCCGATCTTTTTCTGAGTTTATCTTCGTTCTCAATGCTAGTTCAAGGTCCTCAATCTAAGAATAAACATAGAAATATTTCCACTACAAAGCAGCAAGGACAAACAACAACAGAAACTTGTTGATATACTAGCTAAGATATAAACATAAATAAAAGATTATGCTTATCAAAATACAATCGTCATAATTCCCTCTATTATCAAACTTGGATGATTCAGTGTCCAATTTTAAAAGGCTTGCATCATCAATTCTGTGAACTGGTATAACCAAACTGTCAAAGGAAATGCTAGCTGTACTGAGGTTCTTGCAGGTTTGCCTATACAGTTTTCAGGCATGTAAGTCTTTGTAGAAGCAAATTATCCTACTAATTATAAATAACTACCTGAAATATATACAGTAAAACCTTGGATTGCGAGAATAATTTGTTCCGGAAACATGCTTGTAATTCAAAGCACTTGTATATCAAAGCAAATTTCCCCATAAGGTTCAATGTAAATAAGGTTAATCCGTTCTGTAACTTTTTTTTTTAATCACAAAAATTTGAAGCGGGCGCGCTTGGGGAGGGAGATGGGCACGATTGCGGGTGCACTCGGTGGGGAGGCAGGTGTGATCATGGGCGCGCTCATGGGGCTGTACTCACACCCGCAGCCAGAGAGAGAAGAACCGGTGCTCAGTTGTGACGTGACGCTCGGCGGGCAAAGTGCGCGTACTGCTTGTACTGCAAGACATCACTTGTTCATCAAGTTAAAATTTAGAAAAACTTTTTGCTCATCTTGCAAAACACTCACAGACCAAGTTACTCGCAATCCAAGGTTTTACTGTACCAAGAACAAGGGATTTTGAAACCCTCAATGTTTGCATTTACAAAATTTGTGACTAAACCAAATATGATTCCTAGAAAATTAATACATAAGCCCACTAAATCAACACTAGGGGGACAAAGTAATAGATTGGCATTGCCGAGATTTAAGGTTAAGGTTGTTATGGCAAAAAGTCTTACTTGTTTGTTTTTTCTTTCCAAAGCATCCTGTTGCTGTTTACATTTCTGAGATACTTCTTTGATAGCAGCAGTCTATATTCAAGAGAATTTGTTAAAAAGAAATTAGCTCTAATTATATATTTTCCCAGCAAAATGTTTTAAAGACCCAGAGGATGCAAAGAAATGCTACTTTTTTACTACTTCTCCAACTTTTTAGCAATTCTACCTGTCGAACAACATGACAATCCCCGGTCAGAAGCATACTCATAATGGAATGCAGCATATACTGCAGCTTGAGGATGAATGAGCTCTTAATGGGCTGTTGCATTATTTGAACCATGTCAAGATGTTGAAAGTGGGCCAATAAAACAAAAACACTTTCAAGAAAGAATGGGTCAATGAAGTTTACTCATATGTGGAGGAGTTCTGGGGGTTGAACCAAGAACATAAACTGGAGAACTCATTCTCTGACCTATATTCCTGCCAAGATTTGAATTTAGCTCCTACAAATTGTCTTCATGTGACATTAGTCAGGGCTTCCTTCCATAGTGCTCTACACTATGATTTTGACTGTGTGGAATGAAATTGAGCTTTTCAGGCTGATGGCCAAGATGTTAAGACAAATGTTTCCCTCTAGAATTCTATTAGCCGATGCCTTTTTTAGTCTTTGTTTATTAAAGCAGCTTACATTTTAGTTTTTCTATATCTCAGGCTATGGTTCAAAACCTCTTGTCTGTATATTTATTATATTGACTTCTATGAGAGCAAAGTGGCAACATGAACCTAAAATACATACTTTATCTTTGATTTTGGCATCCAAATTCACACACTGGTTCTCAGCCTCTTGGATCCGTTCTGCCATGGGAGACTGTTTTTCTTTTAATGCTCTTAATTCCACTTTCTGATGATCTCGACTTTGTTTCACTGTTTCATATTGCTTACGAACTTCTTCATATACCTAACAAACAACACAAAGGTATGACTGGCATTATGTCACTTTGTTCAACAGGCCTAAGTGGTTGTTTGCTGTTACAATTCTAAAGTCTCAACAGCATAGCAAGCGACAGATAGGGCCCTGGAATCCAACCCCCTGTTCAGAGAAGGAATCCAATTTAAACCATCTCTGACAGCTGCCCCATCTCTACCTGAATTATTTATTTATACACATATTTATAGGCCACCTATAACTGCCAAGGCGTTCCTAGGCAGCTTATCCTTGAATACCTAAACAACAGAGAACCCACCACTTCCCTAGGCGGTTGATTCTATTGTCTGACCACTCTGACCATCAGGATGTTTTTCTTGATGTTAACAATGATCCACCTTGCTGTAAATTAAGTCCATTACAGTGTCCTACATGCCCCATAAAAACCATTTAGATACTTGAAAAATGCTGATATATTGCTCCCACAACTCAGTTCTCTTCTCAAGGCTAAATATAACAAGTGCCTTCAATATTTCCCGATATTAGTGTTTCTAGCCCCGGATCACCTTTGCAGCCTTTCTCTGGCATTCTAATTTATCTGAATCCTTTCTGAAGTGTGGTGCCCAGAACTGGGCAAAGTATTTGAGAAGTGCAGAAACAGAGTCAAAATATAATAGTTCCAAAATCATTTTTTTCTATGATGTAACCGAAAATTGCATTTGTCTCTTTTGCAGCCACATCACACTGTTCATTTATATTAAATCTGAATAGAAAAGGTCATTTTTAGATGAAAGGCAATAGATGTGATGTCAGACATATAAAGTTTGAGAAGGGATGCCCTAACTAGATATTATTCAACAAAAAAACCCAAGACAACATTAAAGGTAGATTTATTTGACCTTCTATTCTGGTTTTTACTAGAACTTAAAGAAGATTGCAAGATTTATAAAAACACATGACCAAAATAAAATGCTCTGGTCTTGTTTTTGGCTTAAGTCTATACTGCTTCATTCAGAATCACGAGGTATGCATTTCACACTATAGTAATGGGACATAGGAAACATTCCAGCACATGAAGGATATGAAAAGAAATCTATGATGAGATTGTTTGGTTATTTTATTTAGGACTTTTTTATTACCAACCACAACCAAGGTCTCGGTCTTGCTTATATGGTTATATGCTTTTCTTCTGAATGATCTAGTTAGTGTATTAGTTGTGTGTGACTGTGAAACCAAAAATACAAAACAGATAACAAACCGTTGTCAACTTTATTTCTTTATCTCTATGATAAGTATGGTAACTAATTATACCAAATTAAGTAAAAAGTCCAGAAAGTAGACCCCCACCACTATTCTCCCTGCCTTTGTGAAGGGGCCTATTGCCATCCATCACCATCATCACCAGTTAATGTTAGGCTTAATGTTACCTCAAGAATCTTCTAAACTGTTTTAAGAACTGTCTCTTTTATTTGTGTATACATTACTGTATACCTACACACATACACACAGTTTCTCTCTCTCTTCAGTACCTGTAGTTACTTATTAGTATATTAATATTACAATGCTATATTGTGTTTAAGATGTTTTAGCAAATATGGAAGTGCTTCTTAACTGTTTTATATGAATAGAAAAGTAAAAATATATACATAGACTAAGACAAACATTTGGCTTCCTCATGCGATGTGACTTACATACAAATTCAACTTAAGGATGTTCTCAAGAACGAAACTCATTCTTAACCTGGGCCTGTATAAATTTCTCCTTTTTCTTAAAGTATATTTTATTCCAAAATAATACAAAATATATAAAAAATATATTATTCTGGGTTTGAAGTCATGAGGACAAGCAAAAAGTCCTGCCACTTAAGGTATTATTCAACCATCTGTTCAGCTACTGAAACTTTAGAATATATTGTTCACAAATCTTCAACAGTATCTTTACTCTACTAAGATCTGTAGGGGATTAGGCAGTAAGGGGCCCACCAAAGTGTTCCCATGAACAGGACAGTTGCTAGCTTGAACCACATTGCCACTGCTGTGCCATCTTCTTTCTTAGCGGAATCCCAGTGTGTTTGGCAAACAGTCTAGAGCACAATTCTACTGCAGAAAAGAGCATGCTCCACATGCAACTGGTTTCCAAGCTGAATTTCTGTTTATCCAGAGAAGCAGGGCACAGGGAAACTATATAACCTGTTTACCTGCATAATGAGATTCCGTACAGGCGGCCAGAGAAGTCATTTGGTAAGCTGTGTGGAGCCCCATTGTGCTGGCAAACAAAGGATACATGGCCCACACAACTTATTCCCAACAGTTTCACTGGAATTCAAGGAGAGCAGGCCCTTGCAGAGGCATCGGTGTACGGTTGCCCCTCCTTCTAAAGTTATTTACCTCATTTTACAGAGTTGCTTTTTAAAAAGTTGAAATTCTGCACAGTATCAATTCTGAACCCAGTACCACATTCTGTACTTTTTCTTCATTCAATGCAAACATTGAAACAAAATATATAGGCAAGACTAAATACATGTTAAGTAATTGCAAAATCACACACTTTGTATGGCCTGGCAAATAATATTTCCTTTTTAATATTTACTTTCATTATTATATCATTTTACGGGTTTTTAAAGTGTCTATATTTCACCAAGCATACTTGTTGTATTTTGTTTTTAAAGGCACATTTCCAAAAGTCTTTAAAAAAAATTAACCACTTACCAGCCAGGGTCTTTTTCTCTCAAGCATTGCAATTAAATCTAGATGGCGCTTGTGTTCATGATACCGCTCTACATCTTGCTTGTATCGTTCATTCTTTTGCTTCATTTTCTCTAGGCTGTTATTTTCCTCTATCCATGAATTCTGTTAGAATGCATATTTTAAGATATTACTTGACAGAATAAACAGAATTAAGAATTATTAATTAAGCATAAGTTTTATTTTATAATTGCTCCATGCCCTATTTTCAATTCAAATGAGCACATGAAAAGTAGTAGAATCTCCTCAAACTTCTAATGGATGTTATTCTATAGAGTGCAAGTAGAAAAAAGGAACTGAAGGTTTGGTATCATTATACAATTTCACTTAGCCAAGAAACTTCCTCACGATGAGAAATTCTGCACTTTTGCTTCAAATCCTCCCAAAACTTGCAAATGAAATAACAAACAAATATTATATAGAAACATTTAACCAATAATAGTCTGTATTAGGGAAGTCCTCTCATTATTGTTGAATTTTTAAATCACACATTTCCTTTTCCCTATACATAATATAGTGGAAGTGGACATCATACAGCCATCAATTTAATTTCAAAAACCCCATATATGAGATCATTGGAAACCTCTGGCAAGAGCCAGCTGTCCCATTTTCTGGTAACCCACTGAGCAGAAAAGAAATGAGAGAGGGAGAGAAAAAAGGGAGTATATGTGAACACAGCCCTTGACAGAAAGAAGGTTCCACACTGCTGCTATATAGTATGCAAATAGATAAAGAGGCAGCACAAATGTAAGAAATGTTTAAGAACAGTTAAGAAATGATTCACAAGACCATGTGTTTCCTTTCCCTTTGGTTCAAATCCCCCCACCATCTTAAGTAAAGTAACAATAGAGAGAGCCAGTGTGGTGTAGTGGTTAAGAGCATGGGACTGGGACTCAGACAATCTGGGCTCTAGTCACTGCTTAGCCATGGAACCAACTGGGTGACCTTGGGCCAGTCACAGACTCTCAGCCCAACCTACCTCACAGGGTTGTTGTTGTGGGGATAAGATGGAGGAGGAGAATGATGTAAGCTGCCTTGAGCCCTTTGTAGGAAAAAGGCAGGCTATAAATCAAAAAATAAGTAAAATAAATATATGAATACTTACACAAACATACTTAAGGGTCCACTCGACCATGATTTGAAACTAAAAGAATCTGGCCAATGATTAACAATGTAACCAAAGTTAATCCTAACATGTAATATTATTACATGAAATGTGGTGAACCTACTTTTCCTTATGAGAGGAAGCCCAGAGCAGGTAAGGATAAGCATAACAAATTGTTTTATACACAATGAAATAAATATGTGAACAGTACCACAATTCAATACCATTACCAAATTCAGGATGACAAATCTAATATAAAACAGTATTTCAGAAACATAATTAACAAATATTATGTCTAAGTAATTCAGCAAGTAATACACCTCTGCCACCAGCCAGGAGAACTGGGGTCACCAGGAAGCTGCACCCCCTGCCTCCCAGAACACCATGGCAAAGTGGAAAATAACTCGGACCCATTCATCTGCCAGGGAAGTTGAAGCTGCTGCAATGGTTATTTCTGTCCTTCTACTTCCCAATTTTTTCCGCTTGTTTTATGTCTGTTAGATTGCTACCCTGCTGTTAGGACCTATACAATGATTAGAAAATGTTAGGTGCTTTGTAAATGATAGGTGAAAAAGTTCAAATTCAGAGCAGCAACAAAATAATGCATTAAAGGCAAAAGTAGTTCTCTCAGTGAAGCATCAGTAAGAGGGAAAGATGACTGTGTGTTAAAATCCAAAATGCATTTTTCTTTTCCCAGCTGTTCTGAGCTTAAAACTGTCTTTTCCGAGTCACTTGGATTTGTAGCCATATTGAGGATATAAAACCAAAATAGAAACCCCAAAACATGCCTGCTAAAAATGTTAAAACTTCATTTACAAGGAAGTTACAAAGCCCCATTTTTGGTGTCCTACTGCTGGTGGGTAAACAACTTTTAATTCAAGCAGGCTTTTGTTGTGCTTTTAAATTTGTTTTAATGTATATGATTTATTGCTGTCTTAATTGAAGGGTTTGGAGGTTTATTGGTGGTTATATGCACTTGAGTGCACTTTTTCTTGGGAGAAAGAAAAATGCTTACATGTCAGGAAGGAGTGTAGATATGTGAAAACCAAAGAGAGAAAATGGGGAGATACAAGAGCCATGGTACACACAGAATAGATGAGGGAAACAAGAAATGAAATTCAGAAAGGTCATATTTTTTAGCCTTAGACTGGGCTGATGATTCAAAAAGAAAACTTATAAATACTTATGTATTTATTTTAAAAATAAAGGACTGAGAAAATCTTTCTCATGCACATCACCTACTTACCTCAAGCTCTCTCTCTCTGTGCCTTAGGTTTTTTAGGTCACAATGAAATTTGTACATTTCTGGAGGGCCAATTGATTTCTCTGTGGCTTCAAGTAACTCAATCTTAGATAATTTTGCAAATTCTCCAACTTTGTCCTGCAAAGTAAGACAAAATACAACCAGTATTCTGTGCACCAAAAAATCAAGCTATATTCTTTATAGGAATTATCTAGACTTTAAACTAATAAAAAGATCCAGCAGACTATTTCTAAAGCTTTCTATTTTACATGGAGCACAGCTTGTGAAGCAGCTTCCAGAGGCTAAGATAACCTTCTCCTCTTTCACCAGATGCGTCCATGTGTGAGCAGTGACTCTGGCAGGGCCTTTCAACGGTAGACAAATACCTTCCGCATCTTACCAGCAGCAAGCATCCTGCTGCCAACCTTCTTCCACTGAGAATAATTGTTATACTAGAACCTAGAGAAAAGCTGTCACCAAGATGCAGCCAGTACAGAAGCAGCCTTAATTGCCATTTTCTTGTTAGGGCGATGTCCAGAAAAACACATCTGCACCACCACCAATGCCAAAATGGCACTTTGGAAGGACCCCAACTCCTTTTTCCAGGGCTCTGGAAGTACACAAATGGCACCATAATCTTTTTAAACAACGTTTTCCTCCAGTTTTTCAGTATAAGAGTGCAGAAATTCCTGTCCACTATGTGTAATCTCACCAGGTTAATTTCCTTGTAGGTTACAGCCATCAAAGAAAACATAGACGTGGCAATGTACTAGGAAATCAACAAGGAGATACTGCATACACATTCAACTCAAAAGGAACAGGAAAAAATAATACTATGAACCCATTTGGGCAGTTCAGAAGCACTAAAAATGGAAACAAAAGGAGCACCAAGAATGGTGAGGGATTAATTCCCACTTGACAATATCCCTGTCTCACTGCTAAGCCTTGAACTCATACTTGTCAGTGTTCTTCTCACTTTCAACACATTTTCAAGTCTTGAAGTCCAAAAATGGGAGTTATCCCTTCTCCTTCTATCCCATTGAAACTGAGCAGTATGCTGGGATGAGAATAAGCTTAAAACCTTCCCAGACCAGTCTTACCAATTATGCTCAAGATTGCTGGAATGAAAAGGCTCTATCCCTGCTCTTATCACAGTTCTCCAGGGAGGCCGGGCACACAAGGATGACTCCATGCACATCTCTTTCCCTGGAGAACTGCTGAAATGAGAGAGAAATTAAACCTGCCTCCACACCACAGTACCACTAGAGTAGGGTAGAATGCTAGACTGATGCAGTAGGGAGGAGGCTTTAACGTTTGCCCTCACCAGGGTGATAATGGCAAGGTGAAACATGCTGGGGCCAGGAAAACAGTCCTGGGGGGCCTTAAGTTGCTGGAAAGCTGCATTTTATCCACTGTTGCTTTAGAACTTAACATGCACTGCTGGGATTTACAATGTCTTAAAAATAATTCCTTCATACCTGTGGAAGAAACTGGCACAGGTTGCCTACTTGAATATTTAAGGTTGAAATTTGGTCCTCTACCATTTTCAGAGTAGAAGATTTTCTATTAAGAAACCAAGATGACTGGTTGTTTGCCACAGACATTTCTCGTGTGATAATAAGATTGGCTGGATTCTTAAACCTAATAAACAGAAAATAATTGTCATTTTTTACCCATAACTATGAAAAATAATAAATAAAATGATCAGTAATAAAATGATGTTGCATGCTCATCTAATACCTCAATGCTACACTTTCTCAATATTTTTACAGATAAAATTTATTATACACATTTACACAGAACAGAAACAAGAACAAGTCTGATTACTCACAGCTCGATTTCAATTACTCCTTTAGCACAACCCCGCTTCACATAGTGACCAATCTGGGGGGAAAAATTAGCATGTAAACCTCAACACAAGCCTAATTTGCCATCATCATCATCTTACTATTATTATAATGTGTTTCTCATTTGCTTATCACTCTAAGAAAATTGAAGTACAATTATTTCTCTTGGTTCTGGACATAATATAATCAAATAGAAATGCATACAAAAGGAAAAAGAAATGGGAGGGAAAGAAAAAAATATTTGGTACAAATACTCGATGTTACAGGACATCAACACTCAAGCCAGAAGCCCTTGCCCCCCCCAGCCAAGGGCAAAGGCCAGAATGAACATTCTTTCAGCCAGTTTCAGGGACACTGGCAGTTACAGAGGTATCTTATTTTAAGGGAGTCGAGAGAAGTAAGCAATTTAAAAGTAAAAGCAATGGCATAGGTAGTGCAAACTGCTTTAAAGCCAGGAATGATCTTTTTAGCTGCAATACTGTCATAAACAGAGAAAGCAGGTGAAGTGAATAATTTCACTGCTACGGTAAGTCAAATAGAAGGGCAATACATCACTGAGCAACATTTGCATAATCATAATCCTGAATTCTTTGAATGTCTTAGACCTAATTCAAAGGGAAAGCATGTTGCTTTGTCCTCATGGAACTATAACCTCAGAATACAGCACAAGTTAGTTGTTTCCTGCTGAGCTACCAAAGCAGGTCAATACAAATTGCAACATAAAATGTATGATCTCAACATACTTGCCAAGTAATACATGACCTTATTAGTAATAATATTACATGACCTTCTTAAACATCTGAACATGCTTTTGTTTAAAGAAAATGTGAGCTCTAATGCAGTCTATGTTCTAAAATTAGACCATATCGCCTAGCTCAGTGGTTATTCCTATTTAGTTGCACTATTGTGAGTACAGTGAAAGCAACTGAGAGCTCAAAGAAAATCATGAGCAGTCTTTCTTCTGAGCTCTGTCCAGACAGATAGTGCACCCTGTGTGTTGTACATAAGATTAACATGCAAATTTATACCCATGCCCAAGAGCACTACAGTACATAAAAGATAGCCAAGCATATCAATCTTGCGTAGGTGGTCATTTGGTAAAGAACTGAAAGCATGAAAAAGGTATGAAAGTCAGAACACTGAAAAACAGAACACTCTGTATTATTATTATTAATAATAATAATTAATAATAATAACAACATTATCCTATTTTGGCATCTATTTTCCATCCATCATATAGAAACAATCTTGGGAGATTTAATTACTATAATCCAATATTAGACTGCAAATAATTATTCTCACCTTGTCTGCACGACCTATGAAGCAAGGTTTTCCTGCAAGTCCCAGGCATATAGCACAAACAATGCTTGATTTACCTGTTCCATTAGCTCCCACTATCATATTTAAATGAGGTCCTGGATATATCTCACAGTTATCATAAGTTCTGTAAGGCGATATTATTAAAACATTGTTTATAAAGTAAGAAGCATATGAAGATGAAAATAAATCAAAATTTAAACTAATTGCTAAAATTCATGATATTTAAGTCATGCACTACTTTACAGAACTACTTACTTTGCCTACTACAACACCAATTCTGTACCTACCTACCGGGGAGTAGGTTCCACCAAATTCATAGGACTTATTTCCATGCTGACATGTAATGAGGATTGCCCTACAATTCCCATATGCTACATGCCAATAGATTGTATATATTAAAAGCTGCATAAGAGCTCTGAGTTGACACTGGAGCAATTGGGATTTTGCATCAACTGTAACATAGCCTGTGCCTAGGGAATAGAATGGCCACCTAGCCAATTTCTTAAGAGCAAAGACTGCATTTAATGTTAATTCTAAGCTAAGTCCTATTCATCTCCTACTCTACTTTAAGTAGCACTAAAATGAGATTCAAGCGAAAGTCTTTATCAACCCAATATAGAATTCTACACTTTCTGGAAAGCAATCAATCACTGTTCATATAAATGTTTGAAAAGGTAGCTGTGACCATGACATAGCCATAAAGACAGCAAATGTGCAGCCACATCTCTTCACAAACCTACTCCATTAAACCTCTATTCAGCAGAATTTACTCCCATAGAAAGGTTCACTGTATTCAGGCCCTGCACCTAAACGACATACATGTTTACTCAGAAGCGAGTGCCACTGTCCACAGTCAAGTAAGCCTACACAAAGAGCTTTGGATGTGGGGCTGTATATAGATGAAACAAATAATAAAAATATAACCTAAGGCTGTAACATATATCCACTTACCGAAAAGTAAGCCACACTAAATTCAACGCAACTTACTTTTAAGTTGGCAAGAGTAAATTTGGATGCAAAGATAAGTTAATGGAAGGAAGTTCACAGATGTTTCTTCTACTCTTTTCATCTCCATATACCCAAAAGCCTCCCCAGAGGATCTGAATTCCCTGCAGAGTAACAGATCTTGGGTAAGCTCACAAAGAGGGGGGGGGGGGGAATCACCAGAGGCCGACCAGCCTCGGCAGGCACCTCTCCTATTCGTGGTGATTCTTCCCTACATTCTAAACCTCTATGTTAGCTTCCATAGGTTTCCTTCAGCTTATTTATATTACTATCCACGTGTGCGCAAGTTTTTCTACTACAGTAAACCACCTTGTGAGGGCAGTAAAGCCAGGAAGGCAGATGGAAAACATCTTCAAAAGGGTACAATCCTATACATGTTCGGACAGGAAAAACAAAAGCCCTATAACTCCCATGCTGGGCCTTTTTCTGTCTAAACCTGCATAGATTATGCCTTTATTAAACAACATGATTCTGACGTGGAGAACAGTTAGTGGTAGAGATTGACCGTTAAGTTCCAGAAATGCCTGCGGCCTGCTTAGTCTTTGGGCTCCTCACGCCAGCGTCTAGCCCGAAGGCATTCAGGGCAGGCACTTCATGGAAACGATCCAAGAGCACAGCAGGCTGCCACTCGGCCACACCACGTTCCTGACGGAAAGCGCCCTCGCTGGGGAGACGGAAGAATCCGCCCCACGCCCGGAGGGCCACCCTCTTCAGTCGCGCTTCTCCTCACGCCCCGCCTCACTACTGACGGTCGCGGGGCGGCCCTTTATGCATCCCGCGCACTCACAGGAAGTTCTCCATATAAATCCTCACGATAGCACCCTCCACGAACAACGTTTCAGCTGGCCGCTGGCCGGCCTCTTCTGGCGTACAGATTCCAGCACTTCGCTTGCTGCGAGCCTTCCTACCACCGCTTTCTTCCGCCTCGGTGCCCGCAAGTTTGCGCTTGGAGGAAGACGCCATCTTACCAACTCCCACGGCGACTAGTACGCTAAGGTGTGTTTAGAAAGCCTATTATGCGCGCCCGTCTCCCATTGGTTGTCGGAGCGGGACGTAAGGCTGCGCGTGTATCTCATTGGTTAGGGCAGCCGTGGGGCTCGAGAGTATTTCCGTTGGAGAAAAGTAGGAGACCATTTCGTCTTACTGTTACGCAATCCGTTAGGGAAGCGAGTTCAACAAAACCCTTCCTATTGGCTAAGGCGAGAAGCGGCATTTTCGCTGGGTGGGAGCTGGAAAGAAGCGTTCCTTCGAGGGGCAGGCTTTGGTAGAAGTCGTTGTAGACAGTAGGGGTGGCCAATAGGAGGGGGCTCCTGGCGCACGTGATGCAGTTGTTAATGTGCCACTGGTTGTTGGAAAAGGAAAGGGTGCTCCAATAAGGACAGTGAGTGCCCATGAGGAAAGAAAACGGATATTTATACCTGAGCAACAACGCTGAACACCTGCCAGTGACAATTTCTGGTGCGAGCTCCATCTTGAATTGAAGCGAAGACTCTCATGGCCACAAGATCTGGCCTGAGACTTGTGCTTTTCTGTCTCTTTCCCCATCTGCTTTTCCAGAACGGCGAGGAACCACAATTCCCAGTGTGCAATATTGCAGAATCGGAGGTGGGACGGGTTTTGGTTTGGCCTGAGCTAGCGGGAAAATCCCTGTGATCCTGGAGACAATAGGAGGGTAACGCTTCCAACCGCAGAGGTCTGTCCAGTGGTTGGCTTGTTTAGTGAGAACTTGTCACGTGAGCAGAAATATTCTCTTTTGATGAAACTTTCTACGTACATAGAATGTCTAAATCTCTATGCTTACTCCAGTCCAGAGAAGGTTAGTGCAATCTAATGATGCAGTCCTATGCAGATTGATTTTATAAAGGAAGCCAGAGCCTTCAGTTTGCAAAGGGCTGAGCAGGGCTGTCAAGGGCAGGACGTTGTGGAGGGCGCTCAGTCATAAGGTCAGTCATGAGCTGGAGATGACTTGAGAGCAGGTAGCAAGAACACACTTACCTAGAAGTAAATGCCATTAAATTCAAAGGGATTATATATTTAATCAAATTGTTATTTCACTTTCGAGGGAGGTCAGAGCCATTCATAATTGTGCCTCCCTACATATCCTCACAGCAACCATGTGACATAGACCTGGGAGACCTGGGAGATAGTAGTTGACTCATAGTCACCTAATGATCTTCACAGGTGAATGGAAATTCGAATCTGTTGCACCACAGGCCTTGAGTATTTCCAAATAGGACTGCTAGCACTTCAAGTCAGAAGGAATTGTGCAGATATTCAGTTGTTGCTTAATAGGTTTTCTGCAGTAAGAAAAAAGATGGAAGAAATGATGGGGAAAATAGGATATTTATGAGTGCAAGATGTCATCTGGGCATACACACCCATAAAATGAGTGAATGAGGCATGATCATGGCATAAGTGTCATTTAGAAACACCCCTAATTATACCATGGTATGCCTCAGACTAGGCTGTTAAGTTCCATTGACATCAATGGAACAAATTAGTCAGACAGCACAAGTCCCAGAAGTTTCTTTCCGTGGACACTGACAGAATCATACAGTTGGAATGGGCCTAGCAGGCCATCAGGTCCAACTGTCTGCTCAATGCAGGATTCAAGGCATGCATCCAGATCTCAACCAGGCCTGACACTGCTTTGCTTCCAAGATTAGGCAGGATCAAGCACTTCAGGCTTTACAGAAGCAACTAGCGTCAGCTGGATTTAGTGCCATTATTTTGCCAATCCTTCCTGTAAACTTGGAGAGGATGTGCACAATATTAGGCCCACACGTAGATGGTGAATATGGTTACTTGTCTTTTATTGCTCCACTTATGCCAGTAATGAACAGCAACAGTTTAAATTTAGTGGTGAACTGTTGCTCAAATTAAGCCTTCTAAAGGGAAGCATTATCATCCATCTTTTAGTTCATGATACAAAAGGGAACATAAGAGCAAGTATACATTATGCACTAAAACAAATATTGACCTTCCTGTATCAGTAGTAAAAGTGGATTATACATTTACTAGAGTAAAACATACTTTGCTTGTACTCAGATCTGTTTTTAGATCACCACTTCTCTCCTTTTTCCCAGGGTTGTTTCATTCACAGGTAATATGTGTGTTGGTGTCCGTTACTTGTGAAGGCTGGTATTGCAATAAACCAATTTTCTACAGAATATCCAACTACTATTTTGAGAGCTAATGCCATTAAGACTGGCAGAAATAGATAGCCTTCTCTTCCATTAATTTGTCTAATCCCCTTTTACATTAATAGACATCTTTACTTTCTAGGAAAGAGAATTCCATAACTTAACTATGCATTGTATGAAGATGTACTTCCTTTTATCCATCTTGAATTGCCCACCAATCAGTTTCTTGGAATGACCTTGAATTGTATTATTATGGGAGGGGCAAAAAAGCATACCCATCTTTTTCTGCACCAGGTATAATTCTTAACACCTTTATCATGCCCTACCTTACTTGCCTTTTTTTCTAAGCTAAACAATCCCAGTTGTTACAGCTGTTCCTCATAGAGGAGTTGCTCCAATCTCTTGACCATTTTAGTTGCCCTTCTCTGCCCTTTTCTGGCTCAATAATGTCCTTTTTCAGATGCAGCAACCACAACTGTATGCAGTATTCTAAGTACAGTCACATCAAAGTTTAGTACAAGGGAAGTACCAACTTGGCAGTTTCATTGTCAATTCCTTTGGTGTGAGATTTTGTCAAGAGTCTTTTAGAAATCCAAGTAAGTAATATCCCTTGGATCCTCATGTCAACATATTGACATTCTCAAAGAATTCTAGCTGATTAGACAGAATTACTTTGCAGGAGCCTTGTTTTTTGTTTTGTTTTTTCCAGCAGGGCTTGCCCTCCATGTACTTACCAATTTCATCTTTAATAATACTTTCTGCCAATTTACCTGGAACAGACATTATGTTAACCAGCCTATAATTTCCCAAATCTCCCAATCCCTTTTAAAAAATTGATATTACATTGGTCATTCTCCATTTCTTTGCTGCAGAGGCTGATCTAAGGAACATATTACACAATTTTATAAGAAGGTCAGCAATTTCATATTTGGGCTTTTTAGGAACTTCAGGATGGATACTATTTGAGCCTAGTGATTTATTAACTGAGAATTGAATACTTTTTACTGCCCAGAGAGTCCCATGTGGAATTATTGGGAACAAGTTTATAAATGTAATAAATATTTTGTCACTACTACCTGTCTTATTCCCTTCTTGAATATGTAACTTTAGGAATGGGTATTTTTCTCATATCCTCTGCTGCAAGCACGGATGAAAATAGTTCAGCTATTATATTCACAGTATTCAATTACAGATGAGAGGCAGACTGGCAATATTTACACAACTGGGTGCTTAGGTGGTATTTAAAGATATGAATAGCTTTAAATAGTTAATACAACCAATTAATTAAAAATACAAAACCAACCCTAAATTACTACTATGTAACATCTGTGTCAATTATCCATCACTAACATGATAGTAAAGTCTCTCCTAGGAAAATCCTATCAGTTCTGTTTTCTAGTGTGTCTCTTTATTGTTGTTTTTTTTTGTATTCATTAGGTGTCTTGCCATCAACCAGCATTTTGTTTTTAATTGTTGTTTCCTTACAATTTGTACTCCATCTCTTTACTACCCCTGCATCCTTACCTGACGGCAGGCAGTAGGCACTTCTTACGATGTTTCAAAATGGAGAAAAAAAAAAAGGCTTACTGGAGTTACACACTTGTTGTCTGGGTGGATAATAGTTTTCAAGTCTCCACCAGATGGCATTCAAATGTTATAGAAGTGACAAAATTTTACAAGTATATTTATGAGACATTTAGTGAAAAAAACATTTTGAAGAAGGTACAGAGGAATGTATTGTTCTTCCACGATGATTTCTTATAGTGGGGTATGTAAATCAATTTAAATATATTTTGTTAAGAAAGAATTATTTGGCAATATTATAGTTTACGATGGTAGCAAAACTGGTTGAAAAATGTTACAAGGAATTAAAGGCCAATTGATTAATTTTGTTGTTGTTACATGCTGCCAAATCATCCCTGACTTAGAGTGATGCTATGAATTAATGCTCTTCAAAATTCCTGTTCCCAACAGCCCTGCTCAGATCTTACAAATTCAAGTCTGTGGATTCCTTAATGGATCCTTTCCACAGTTGTTCTTCATCTTCTTCTGCCTTTCACCTTCTCTAGCATTATTCTCTTTTCAGTGATTCTTGGCTTCTCATGAGGTGCCCAAAGAATGACAGCTTGTTTCATCCTGTTTACTTCTGAACTGATGACTGTAGTGCATAAATGGAACAAGAGGGCAACCCTATAAAACTTTATTCCAACAATGATTCAAGTGTCAATTCCTGGACCCCGTTCTCCAGCTAAGCATTGCTGCTCTCAAGTAATTGAGTACAGCTGTACAAAATGTTCTTAGTTCCCTGCATTTGCCCACTCGTTCTTCCCCTAGGCCCAATCCCTTTAACTGCCCAGAAAGATAGGGCAGACAAGTGAGGTGGCTCTTCCTTCTACACATTTCAATTGTTGTCTTCGGCCTGAAGGAAAACAACTAGACAAGCAAGTGGCAGCAGGAGTTGAAGCAGCAACAATGCCATGAGGCTTTAGTGGTCAGCCCTAAACCCATCACATCACTGCCCTCTTGAGTTTTGGTCTTCAAAGGTGGACACGAATATTGATACCCTCGGTCAAGCATTAAGAGAAAATTAGTATAAGAAGTATTTGTGGTGGTATATTGTCCTGAAAGATATACAGAAAATGAATAAGAATTAGAATGGAAAATGTTGGAAATTCAAAGAAATGGATGGGATTTTTTTTTTTTACCATATGTGGTGGACATGTGATAAAAGTGTTTGGAATCAGATACATGTGGAAATGCAGATAGTTCTCAAATCAATTTTCCTATGAATGCAAAGAATACCTTACTGAGTATTATACCAGAAACTCTTCCAAAGAATATTCTAGTGTTATTTAGATATACGATAGCAGCAGCAAGAGATACAATTGCATCCAAGCGGAAAGCAGAAAACTATCCAACTACCAAAGATTGGAAAAATAAGCTAGCTGAATATGCAACAATGGCAAAATTAACCAATTATATAAATAGAAGACCTGCCAAAGAATTTAATAAAAATGGGAAGCTTATTATGAGCAATTTAATATTTAAGAAAACAAAATTTGTAAAAATATCAACAGAGGTTTTTACTTCATGCTAAAGCTATGACATCATTTCATTGCTTCGATAGATTAATCTGTTGTTGAACTTTAATTGAGAATAGAGGGGGAGACAGAAATTTTTGCTTTCAGATGAACAGGTTAGATGTTGAAATTATATGCTATATTTCCATAATATCCCTTGGTAGCCTTTTGCTTTCTCATATTCATATATATATATATATATATATATATATGAAATGCATGTATCATTTATTTGTATCTTATTTCTTTTTTGTGAAAATAAAGATATATTTTAAAAAATCTCAATGGGCTGGGTTGGGGAAGGCTGATTTATTGCATTGTGATTTAAGTTTTTGGATTTCCATTAAAGCATTTTTGCAAGCAAGCCAGAAAGAAAGAAAAGAATATTGATGCTGCCACATTCTGGATCATCTTTTTTCCCCCTAATTTTTTTCAAAACACAGCAAACCAATTCAGATTTCCAAGTCACCACTGCATACATAATGATGACACGATCAACTGCTCCTGAGGAAGAAAGTAAACATACTTCAACACGGATGAAAGCCATTTCTGGTATCATGTAATTGGAAGTTACGTAGAATCACATTTTATTGTGTTTCAGAATGATAGAAACAATATATACATGTGCACACATACACATACAAAATAGACATCCATACTTTTTATAAAATTATTCAATCAAATGTGTGGCATCTACCTCTAACAAGGATGCAAACTGTGGCTAAATATATATATATATATATATATATATATATATATATAAAAAAGACTATTTTGTGCAAGACCGATTCCCAACCCCCCCACCCCCGCAAACTGGGTTTATTGTAGGCTATGCTGATCAGCCTTGATATATTTACATCTCTATCAGGACATTTATACACATTTATTGCTTAATTGCAGAGATGATAAATTTATTCATTTCAATAATTGTGGCCAAGGAATAAGAAACTTCGATAGGATTACACCCTTAATGTGTTACAACATGTTCTGAAAAGATTGATTTTCCTAAACAGCGGTGGAAACAGCTCCAGTCAGTTATCAGAACATTACTAGTGCTCAAGAATAGTTCCTTCATTATTTCATAATCAAACTAAAGCACAATCTTATGAAAGTTTAGATATGTTGGGAATGGTAAGCCCTTTTTCTGTCTAAAGGGTTGTGCCTTAAATCTTTTATTTGCCCAAGAAAAAACATTCACTGAATGCAGAATTAGTTACACAATAACAGATTGTGTCCATTTTACTTTCTGTAATTATGTGCATAAAAATACTTATCTTAGCAATATATATCTATTGCTGCACAATGTGCAAAATGAATAGCCCCTTAGATTAACTGATGTCACATGCAAAATACAGCACAAAGTGAGGGAAGCCCTGAGTCAGTAACTCTATTTGCCAGACCAAAGTTCAGTCCTTGTTGAATTCTTCCCATGCCATAATAAAATAGTCCAATACTTATTACTTTACAAATTAAAGGCATGGACGAGGCTGTGCAGTTTCCCTGGTAGATAAGCAATGTGATGCTTCTGCAGAGCTCAGTATTCAATTTCATTAAAATCAGCAGAATATCCAGATGACTGTAGTGTGGTTTCTTCTATTTCTAGAAGGGGGAGAGAAAAAATATTTGAAGCATCTGTTTCTGTATGGGTAAATTTATTTCTAGCCTTGCAGGTCTTTTTCAGGCATTGCAGACAAATAATTAAGAGTACAATCCTTTGCATGTTTAGACAGAAGAAAGCCCTACAACTCTCAGCTTGCCATAGCCAATATAGCTGACTGCAGCATGTTGGAAATTGTAGGACTTCCTTCTATCTAAACTGCTTTTGTTCCAGAAGTGATCTGGTGGAATTTAAGCAATGTATTACATTTGGTAAGAAAATTTAATAGTTTATTATGAATAAGAACTACTACAGTCAAAACTATTTAGATCTACAGGCTACAAATTTACAGTTGTCACTAATGAATGTCTCATTTTATTGTTTTTATATCTGTGGTTTGGATACTATTCATTGTCTGACATTCTGAACTCATGTTTAGAAATGAAGCAGAAAAAATAGAACTTTAAACAAATTTACCTTTACAAGGTCCCGGCTGAAACAAAATGTCATCTATAGCAATATCACTTCTCACTGATATTCCACGAACTGCTTCGAATATAATCTGTATTTTAAAGAACAATGTTATAAATGGTTTTGAGACCGAAGTTAAATAACTATTTTTAAAATGCTCTGCTGTGCCTCCTAAAAGATTCCTTAACTGTTATGGTTTGGATCATAACTAATGGGAATGGAATCTAGGTCTTGCAAATGGGTTTTCTCATCCCTTCCAGGCTTCTAGACCCCAAAACCCCCTCTGGGGTATTGAAGGACCCTTCTGAATGGTCCTTCAGTGGTGGGGGCTGAGGAGCAAGGGGGAGCTATGGGAGGGAGGAATCACCCAACATTGAGTAGAGGCAGCTCAACTCACAGTGGGTGCCCATCCCTCCACCAGCAGTCCCCTATTGCTGCACATCCTTACTGACACAGGCATGGAACTACAGTTTATGAATTCATGGCTATAAATAAATTTATGAATTCATGACTGACCCTATGTCAGTCCATTATCTGAACCTAAATCTACAAAGAGCATATAGTTGTGAGGCTGTGGGATAAAAGCACGCAGTGTGGATTTCTAGCACAACAATGGGTTAAGGGGGCTTTGCATCGCTATCTTCAAATAAGTAATAACCTTGTTGATTATAATTTATGAGGGTGAATCAATTCTACCAGAGGTTCTTTTCCTTGCCTAGATCTCACTTCAGACTCTGCGATATCTATAAACACACAGAGTTTGAAGTGAACTAATGGATTACACATCACAAATATTCCCTCTGATGGGATTAATCACTGGTAGCTTACCTGATGAGATTTATCACAAGTATATTGTATTAGACCTCTTAACCATGTGATGCTTTGTTCGCCTCGCCTCTTCCAGATGAGGATCTCATCCTTAGCATCGTGCTTCTTCACATAAATATTTAATAGCCCAGTCCCAGCACCATACATGTGATAAAAAAATTTAAGACACTGATGGCCAAAGGTCCGCCGAAGTAACCTCGAAATAAGCCGTGCTTTCTGTCCATAGATCATGTGAGATGCTTCTATATACATATAATACCCTATGAAAAAGTGAAGGCATTAATCTGGATAAGGTTTTGTTATTGGTAGCCTAGGTTGTCCTAGGAACTACATTGTTCACAGTTCAGTTCAAAGACAAGGCACTAGTTGCTTCCACAGAAAAACAATGTAATGCTGTCAAGGCATTGCTTTTCTGCAGTAGGCTGGAAGTAGAACTGAATTGGGTTTACACAGGACTCAGTGTAATGCCATATAATCCAGCAATGCGCAGATGCATCTATAAATCCAGTGTTTACTCATATGTGCCATTCAGCAGAGGTTCCCTTTGAATCCTACTGAGCACTGCTGAAGGATTATTGATAAATTTCCCCGACTTAGTCATTTGCTGTCGCATTTGCTGGAAGTCGCATAAATGCGGCTTCCTTTATAAAGAAACAGCACTATTTTTTCTATAGAATGAAGGGGGACAGGGAAGGGGGTGCTGATAAGAGTTTAGAAAATCCTGAATGAAAAGTGACATCAATGGGCAATTCATTCTTAATCCTTCAACTATGATGTACAGGAACAAATAATTTAGGTTAAACTACAAACAGGATTAAAGATCAAGGAGTTCTTAAAAGTCTCAACAGCACTCGGTCTGTCCTTACAGGTCCGGATTGCACTGTATCATCCTCTCCACCACCCAGTGCAAATCACAAAAGGACTGCATGGAAATCCCTGATAGGCAACAGTTTGTCAGTGGTGATGTCTAGATTCTTTAAGAAATAGAGTAAACAAAGAATGGACATTTCAGAGAAAAGGACTAGGGTTGGGGGCTAGGGTGGAAGCAACTACAGAGGTGGTGATAATACTTATACTTCAAAGAGATTGCCAACAGCAGTGACATTATCTTAAAAAAATAAATGTAATCCTTAAACAAATTCGAGGGATAGGCTGCAGGGGAAAGAGGCTATCAGCAAAATCCCCTTTTCCTAGATCATAAGCTGGTCCAGAAATGGAGTAGTACCATTGGATTCCACCCCCTGCATATAATACACAACTCTGAGGAAAAATTCATTCATTCATTTATACACACACACATTTTTATAGGCTGCCTATAACTGCCAAGGCCTTCCTAGGCAGCTTACATCCATCCATGAATATGTATAGAATGATTTACTTTTGTCTATGCTTTCTGAACAGCTCAGAGATCCTTATAGCCTCAGCCAAAAAATAAAAAAAATATTCTGTTCCAAAAAAGCCTGCATTATTTACCTGGTATTAATTATGAAAACGAATAGCAATTGTGACAACATGCTTTGTTTCCATACAGTTGCTCATCCGGCCTTTCCCTCTATAAATAGAACACTTTCCCCCTATTCCCCCCTTTCTAAAGAACAAGTGGTAAAATTATGGGAGAAGGATGATATGTAAGAGGTAGAAAAGCACATATATAACTTACACACAATGAGTAAAGGTATACTGACAAAAGCAGAATAAACACGGAAATGAATCTACAAGGAGTAGGACATTGCAAGAGGCCATAAGGAGAGAGAAAGAGTGAGATCACTGCAGGATGCAGACTTCCCTTGCTGGTACACTGAAACATTTATTCCATACAAGTTTTCAAAGTTTAAAAGCCAGAAACTAACTTTAAAAAAACAAACCCAATTGTATTTTTAATTCTAATCAGATTAAATTAGGCATCTGTCAAATACCAAATTTTCTGTAAAATGTTAAATATGGGAAATTGCTAAAGTATAGTATTATTGTATACAGTAATCTTCTGTTATCTTATGCTCTCATTATATATCTTATAGTCACCCATCATGCCTCTCACCCCATTACTTTTAGAAAATGACAGCTTTTGTCCCTCCCTGTTGCCAGACACCCTGCTTTTCTCTGAGCAAATTCCCCATCTTCTTTTATTTCATGTCCTAATGTGAATAGTTCTGCTATAGCTTTTTCCTCATGTGAGTCACAAACATTTAATAATCCGAATAAAGCCATTTAGTCTTCATCTTCTCTTACCACTTCAGGTGTCGAGGGAAATACAAAGTTCTGGATCTTGCACTTATGGCAGGCATATCCAAAGTCCGGCCCGGGGGCCAATTGCGGCCCGTTTTCAAATTTCGAGCAGCTCGCAGCCTCTTCTCCCCGCCAGCTCAGCCTGTTACTCATCCCCGCCGGCCGGCGTTTTTCCCTTCACCGCACAGTGGTTCCCGCAGCTGTCCCCTGCTGCCTCCTGCTCCTTCAAGGCTGGTGGTTATATTTCACCAGAAGATGGCAGTAGACCTGAGTCAGCACTCTCGCCTTGTGACCCTTGTGACACAAGGCTTGTGTGCCCATTTCTAAAATGGCGACTGTAACTAAAAAAAAGGAAAGTTGACAGCGAGGGCCGCCACTTCCAGGACAAGTGGAAATTGGAGTATTTTTTCACTGAAATACAAAACAACTGTGTCTGCCTAATTTGCCAAGAGACTGTGGCTGTTTTCAAGGAATTCAATATCAAGAGGCACTACCAGACAAAACATGCTTACTACAACAAGCTAACTGGGAATGAACGCGGCGAAAAATTGAAGGAACTGGAAGCTGCTTTAATGGCACAGCAGCGCTTTTTCACAATAGCCCGTGAATCAAATGAAAATGCCACAAAGGCGAGCTACGAGGTGGCAACGCTGATTGCCAAGCACTGCAAACCTTTTACTGAGGGTGAATTTATTAAAGACTGCGTGATGAAAATGGTGGAGAAAATTTGTCCTGAGCAGAAGCAAGAGTTTGCCAATGTTTGCCTGGCTCGTAACACTGTGGTACGGAGAATTGAAGACGTTTTATCTGATATTAAGGGACCGTTAGAGGCAAAAGGAGTGGAGTTTGACTTTTTTTCGTTATCCTGCAACGAAAGCACGGATGCATCTGACACCGCTCAGTTATTGATTTTTTTGAGAGGAGTGGACAATGACATGAACGTGAGTCAAGAGCTACTTGACCTCCAGAGCCTTAAGGACCAAACAAGAGGAACAGATTTGTTTCTGTTTGTTCCGCCATAGATGACATGACACTACCGTGGAATAAAGTCACTGGGATTATTACGGATGGCGCACCTGCCATGGCTGGCGAGCGAAGTGGATTATCAACCCTAGTCTGTAACAAAGCGAAGAAGGAGGCAAAGCTATAAAACTCCACTGTATTATTCACCACAAGTTCTCTGTGCCAACATCTGAAATATGATCATGTTATGAAACCGGTGATGAAGGCTATTAATTATATTCGCTCCAAAGCCCTGTGCCACCGCCAGTTTCAACAGTTTCTACTCGACATCCAGGCTGAATACGGAGATGTTGTGTATCACAACAAGGTAAGATGGCTCAGTTGGGGGTCTGCACTGCAGCGCTTCTACTCTCTTAGGGAGGAAATCGGACAATTCTTGGCAAAAAAGGGACAACCGATGCCAGATCTATCTGATCCTGTTTGGCTGGCTGATTTTGGATTTTTAGTTGACATAACATGACATCTGAACATGCTGAACATGAGCCTTCAGGGGCAAAATGCAGTGGTAAGCCAACTGTATTCACATATCAAAGCCTTTGGGACCAAGCTGCTACTTTTCTAAAGGCACCTGTCACAAATGCAGCCCAAAACCACACATTTCCCATCGCTGCAGGAAATAATGACCAGTTTTCCACAGAACAATATGAGTGCGCAAATAAGGAGGTATGAAGTAGACATCTCATCTCTGGCTGAGGAGTTTCAACAGCGCTTTCGGGATTTTGCAGCTATTGAAAAGGAGATCACGCTTTTTTCATCTCCTTTCTGCGTGGACCCTGATGATGCTCCAGACCACCTGCAGCTGGAGCTCATTGAGCTGCAGTGTGACGCCGAGTGTCGCAGTTGGCACGAACAGCTCCCTCTTGTCAACTTTTACCGCCAGCTGGATAAAGACAGGTTCCAAGAGATTCGAACATTTGCTAAGAAAATGCTGAGCTTGTTTGGTTCGACATACTTGTGCGAGAAGACATTCTCGGTTATGAACGTTAACAAGAACTGCGTGAGGATGAGACTAAGTGACTTTCACCTGCGTGACATCTTGCGCATCAAAACCACTGTTTTTGAGCCAGTCCTGGCCTATATAATGCAGTCGAGATCTCAGTATCACCCTTCACATTAGTGCAGTTAAGTTATTTGTTTAGTCTTTCATAAAATAGTTCATTTGCATTTAATGTTAATGGCTCAAAGAATGTCAGGCTGAATGGTCGGCCCCCACACATTTTCACTTCACCAAATCTGGCCCTCCTTGCAAAAAGTTTGGACACCCCTGACTTATGGCAACATCAACCATTGTAGTATGTCTTTGATGTTGTCTCCCCATCTTCCTCTGGGTCTGCCTAGCACTCTTTGGCCTTCTCTTTTTGGGCATGCCTTGAATGGTATGGACTCCCAAGACATTCTCTCCAGACGAGCAAACCACTTTATTTGCTGTTTTTGTATATAGTTAAGATTAGTTCTATTCCAGTTCTTTCCTTTATAATCTCATTCCTGATTTTATCCCTTATGGTCACACCAGCAGCTTTCCTCAAATATCTAGTTTCTGTGGTGACTTTCATTTATGTTTTGTTGTAAGTGTCCATGTTTGACACTGGTAGCATAGGGTGGTGGTGAATATGCTTTGTATGAGGTGCTTCTTTGTGTGGAGTAAGTGGGGTAAGCTGTCCCAATAGTTGGTTTGCCTCACTGCATCATATGTTCATCTCTTCATCCATTTTTCCATCTTCTATGAATGTTGTTCCTAGATATTTGAAATCAGACACTTGTTTTATGTTTGTTCCCATTATTTCTTTATTTATGGTATGCTTTTTCCTTCCAATTGCCATTACTTCAGTCTTCTCTTTGCCGATTCTCATATTGTTTCCCTTGCATTCCTGGTTCATGGACATAAGATATTGCTGCAGCTCCTTATCTATACTTGCTATCAATGCCTGATCATCCGCAAAGAGTAATTTGTTGATGTTATTCCATTCTTGGGCTTGGCTTTTTTGCTTATGCTATCTATGTAGGTGATAAA